ACCCTATGTAATATCGATAAAACCTATCCATGTATCAAATTTCATTCAAATCCGTTCAGTATTTTTTTTTTGTGAAAGAGTAACAAACATCCAACCTTACACCATCCTTCTAAGTATCTTCCAATCATCTTTCAAAGATTGTATTTCGCATTTTAAATATTAATATGATTCTCACTAATACTTGAAAAATAACAATATTTCAAGCCTAGTATTTTTTAAATAGATATCATATCTGTACACTATACTAGTATCACTGAGATCAAATATCTACCTATTGATCTTCCGAATTTCGTGACCTTTCCATTACTATCTTACTAATCTTAGGCATCCAAATTCAAATGTTATAGATAAAACCCTCTCAACAACTCGTATGAGACTTCAAAATTGATCTCACACTATACATATTGTAAGTAATGTTTGTATGACAAGTAACTATTCAAACATGCTTTTCATGATAGCTTTTAAACAATATATACATAGATTTTATGGTAAAATTATGATAACGACATCGAAAAGAAACATTTCGACATTCCATGATAATGACTTACTTGCCTATTTATCTCAAAGATGATTGTGTAATCATTTAAACGTTAAATGTTCAACATAGTTTCTGTTATCTTTTTTTGTACTAACTACTCAACGAGCGTTGTATAATTAATATATAGGTTATGGTTCATATCAGTAGCATTAATATGAATACATTTTATATTAATTTTACATTAGTGTAGTAAATTGATACGCAAGAATACCACATCATTAGTATGACACGAATGTATTTACTTATAAATTATATTTTCATCAAAAACGTTAAAAAAATACACCAAGTCTCGCAATTGACAGTGCTGCACCGTAAAAAAATCCTGTAATCTCCTGTAGAGGGCAAGTCTAGGAATATATTGATTTTTATTATATATTATTATATAAACATATACATTTATCAGAAACAATCACCTGATGTAAAAATACACAAACATATTTAACTATCGCCAAAAAATAAGTATATTGTTCTTGTACACATCTCTGTAAATGAAGGTAAAATCTTCATGTAATAATCATGTAACAGCAATAAAATATAATCTCGACGAAACAAAACCAGTGGCGCATTTTAGTAAATATTTTCAACATTTTCCTATGTGAATGTTAACGACGACGCAACAAATATTCAGGGAAATATAATGATAATTAAACTAATAAAATAATAAATTTGTAGTTTTTATAGCTGCCTATTTACTATTTGAGATTTAATATAACTTTTGTTTTCTTAAGATACTATATGCTCATATCACATATGTATATCACAAAGTCGCACATTTCTGTGTAATTAATGTGATAATACAAACAATTTTAAATGATATTCTTACGTTGTCTTTTAATGTACCTAAACCTAATAACTATTTTCTTCAAAAACATTTTTAAGTTTCAATAACATAATTTTATAGCAACTAAATAATGCTTTATAAAGAATATGTTAATTACTATTAATTAAAAAAATATTGATACCTTTCCATATATACAATGTGAAAAAGACACATTAATTGTATCTAGTACAAACTAATAAATGAAAATCTACAGTAGAAAAAAAGAAATTCAAACAATAAACGTCTACTTACTTAATTGCACAAAATCGTCTACGAGTATATTAAAAATAACCGGTATGAAATCAATTTCATGTCATTTTTATCTAATGCTAGCCACACACTATTAATTAAGAGCATGTGACATTATAGACGGATGTTTGATGTGCCTGACAATGTGGTGAGGACTGTTGGTAATGATAATTGTTTCTTGATTAGTTAAAATGAATTTGAAATTCATATTCATAGAACCACGAGGTCAGCGGTACAAATAAACGAGCATTCTTTTCTTTGTCTGGATTTCTAGTAATTATAGGCCAAAAATTAACGTATTCTTCAGGCTTACAATTCCTATGGTTACAAATGATGAGGAGATGGATAGAAAATCTTTATAACTTTGATCACTACAAATTTCTAATCACGCCATAAATATTTGATGAAAACATATTCAGTTGAACTACGAAATAACTTCTTAAATACAAAAGTATTTTTTATAATACTTTAGATTAAAAAAAATTAAACCTATAGAATTTTAAAATAAGAATCATCAAAATCTGTTTAGAATTCGCGAAGATACCTATCGCGTAACATAACAAGACGTTTGAAATTTTCAATCGTCAAAGAAATAGTATACTCATAACATTTTAACAACAAATTTTAACAGTATAATCGATTAGACTTTTTCATAAAAATAAATCCCAACCACAAGTATTTTTTATACCTAATTATTAATATTTACACCTAACGTAACCTAAACGATTGAAACTTCCCTTATGAGAAAGACCTATGTTCAGCAGTGGACAGTTAACGTTTGATATATTATAATAAAATATAATGATTGACAACAATATTTGAGTGTAAATACAAATCGATAACAATATTTGACTGGAAATTGATTGTGATACAAAATGACGACTACTAAGAAGTTACGATTAAAATAGAAACTTATCTATCACTGAGGGTCTCGTTATCTTTCCATTGTACGTTTATTCCTTATATTACTAATATATACTAATAAAATAAAATTATAACTAGTATTTGTAATTCTATTGGTTTGCCAGCCCTAACAGAACACAGGCGTCATCTAAAATTTGTCTACTTTATTTTATAATTTGTTTTCTTGATTATAAAACAACGTACGAAGTAGCAGGCAAAAGCTAGGTAACGCGTATAATCAACATGAAATGTCTGAAAAGCATACCTTATTTCTAACCTCAAAGAGACACCGCATGCCACTAAATTCTGTTAATACAACCGCGTTTCCTTGTCTAAAATTATCGGCTTTTAAACACAGTATAATTTATTAATATGTATTTATTACTTTGAAATTTACATTATCCAAATATTGTTAGATTTAAAAGATTTTTACATTTGACATTACGTCATCAATAGAGACAATTCGACAATTTTTTCATAAAGTCTTCTTCAATAAAAATAAATCTTATGTATGACATTATGTACACAGTACTGTTCATGTCTATAGACGACAGTTACCGTTTTCCATCAGGGTGGGCGTAAGCTTGTTTGCCATTCTAAGTTAAATTAAAAAATAAAACGACTAGGCACCGAAATGCAATTTGACAAAATCTTTTCACCAACTGTATTTAAATATTACACAAGTAGATGTATATTTTTAAAATTATTAGGAATAATTTACGTTTTATATAGGAGATTATCACTAAGCTGTGTAGACTACTACTGTAGTTGGCTACTTTCCAAACCAATTACTTTTTTTTTACACTTTTTTTATGATATTATTATGTGAGTCCACAGAATCGTTTCACCGGTGGAACTTATACAATGAAAGCTTTAAATTTGGATAAAAACACCTACAATAATGAGAATATAAATTCACATAAAAAATAATAACAATATTTTTTGACGTTTAATGGATTATGATTTTATGAAACTATCAATCATGCTATTTATTTATTTTACAAAAACCTAAACAAGTTTGATTGTTAGTAAAAAAAATTCTAGTCTACACATATATATCCTCTCAGGTCGAAACCGACGTGATTAATTCGTAATGAATTCGCCAATATGATCTAGTTGGCGTAATTTCATCCCCATCAGTCCATCTTCATCCTCCAGTGGTGTTCCGCCATTTGTATACCATTAGCATGGGTAGACTCACCGTTCCATCTTTATTCATAAAATAAGACAAATCCTTCTTGCAAGAATAAACTTCAAAAAGTGTTCACTCTAAATCACTCCTCTCTCACAACTAACCCACTACACGATGTTGCCTAATTTACTTACACCGTAACACGTGTTAGAATCATCGTTTGTTCAGGTGTGAAGGGATATTTCAATGAGGTATACACAATTTATACGAGAATATAAAAAGTTGCTTAAAAAAATTATTATAACAAACTAGTTATTTCTGACAGTCTCTGAGCAAAAGATGTTTTAAAGATTTTCAGTTCTTTTAATTTTTTCGAACTTTAAGTAAATGCAATTATGAATCTTACCAATCGTGAATCGTACTGTAATTATTGACAACAAAATATAAATAATCAAAAGCGACAACGTGACTGGTCATTAAACTAAGCGATTCATGTGTGTAATCGCATCAACACAGAGCCATACATACATTATGTCAAAACAGCTTCTCATTGAGCTAAAGAGAAAAAACGTAGTACTAAATGTATGTATGTATATAATGTAGTACTAATCTATTGATACAATCTTGATGATTTCTTTCTTGACTTTCCACTTAGGTCCTTTTTGGAACATCACTTATTTAATCGACATACGCCCGTCTAATGTGGCCCCTAACAATATCTACACTCATGCGCTCATATCTCTATAGTAATTCATTTTTCATTCGTTTCTACACGTTGATTTGCAACACAATTTCTTTTCAATCTTTGTGATCTTATAACAACATACAAGTTAATCGACACTTCTTTAATTACACTATATCTACAAATAAACACGTCTCAAAGCTCTTTCTTCTGTTTCTTCTGGCCTACCCAAGATGCAACTCCATAAATAAGTATGGCGTTTAACACATCCAGAATTACAGCAATGCGAGCTTTAATCTATAATTCATTTTCAATTGTAAATTAGTCTCTTTCATATAATTATTCAACGAATTAGTATCATACACAATCGGACAGCACAGCCATGTACATCAAAGAATCACAATGTACAGTCATGGGCCCCATATACAATGTACTTACTGCTATTGACAATTAATGAGTTACGCCTCCTACAATACCCAGTAAATTCAAGGCTAAACCTCTTAAAGCCGAAATAGGAATGCAAGCATATCACTACTTGATAGTAGAAACAAAAATGAGACAGAAGCATCCATATAGTCCCATTATCGCACAAGAAATACTTTAGCACGGAAATATTTGCTAAAGTAGTCAGCTTTATTTAGATCTGCGCTTTTTAGTGAGTAACACACACACTTACCTCGATGCCCGTGTGGCATAAGGACGGCATTCTTGTGGTCTGGGCGCAATAGGCTCTCAGCCTCCGCACCACCCTGTTGCGACATCTCCATGGCAGCTCACGGATCCACCACTTATATCATAACCCTGATACGAGCATCTGTGTGCACATGCTAATTAAGGATTGCAGCATCTGTTGACAAATAATAAATTCTTATTTAATTAAAAGTACGATATACATTGAATCCTCGAGAAAGTATTATGGATAATATATATATATAAGGCCGATTTCAATAGAATTTTACAACTGAATAATTTAGATTAACTTCAAAACTGGTGTAGATTTTATCAGAATCGGTCGAACAAATGATAAAGCTTGATCCCTCTATGTAAGAAAATGCGTAAAACCTAAGGTCAAACTAACTGATCAACACACTGATTTGTCGGTCTAGAATTCTAAAAACATAAAATTTGGAAACGTATTCTTCATATAACGTATTCGTAAATAATACCTAGTTGTTTGCATTATGTAAGAAATATCTTGTAAGGATTGACTTTCAAACAAAGCTTCTACAGTCAAGAAAACTTAATGGGACCATTAAAGCTCAATTGACACCATGAAAAATAATGAGTATAAGTAGTAAATTATTATGAAGATGAGTTAACTCTGAATATTTAAGTAGATATCATTATAAAATTCTTTAAATATATAATTTTTTTAATAATAATATTACTAAATTACCTATAGTTATATCAACACAGTAAATTGACAACTCTTTCAAATAATAGTAAAAGAAAAATAATATTAATTAAACAATAAACACTTGTCAAGTCACTTAATATTGCACATAAAAAAAATCTTAGTAAATATACTACCTAAAATTATAATTTCAATATATTGTTATCACAAACACAATGTTAAAATTGTAAAAATAAGAAGTCAGAAAACTTCATCAAAATCAATTAAACAGAATAGAAACCAAGGTTATCACTTCGAAGCGATAACCATACAGATTGACAATAACGACAACTATATGAACAGGCGTGTAGTATCTGACTGAATCTCTCTCAGCAACAAACAGCCGGTTTCTTAACAATGCGTTTGTACTACGTAGACGTACTACGTGTGATACAGTGACTACAGTAAACAAATGTCGCAACTGATCAAAAGATCCTGCTTAGATTCAGAAAAAAAATTAAATGTCAAAAACGGTTCAGAATAAACGACATAATTCACAAAATAAATTCAGAAGACATGTAATCCTCCTCTTTCTGGAAGTCGCTTAAAAATTTAGAGGACTAGTAAGAACGATATAGATGTAAAATTTTTAAAATAAATTAATGTAGAAAATAATTTGCTGTCAATAACATTACTGCAACCTGCACTGCATTTATAGTATTTTCTGTGTAAATAAATAGGTCGTCTACCTCCATTTTACAGGCCACCATTTTCTATTATAATATGACCGCATGCGCGTATTGTATACGCATATTATGAAGATTGACGCTTACGAAGATTACCCATGGTACCCATCTAAAGAAAACTAAAACTACTAAAAATCTAAAGAAGACGTCTAAAGAAAACATTACAAAATTTCATATTACTAAGTTCAGTTTTACCTATGTATCCAAAAAAGTGTACACATTGAATTTGGGATTACTATATATAACCGTTCCGTTACACATAATATAAGTACAAATACCACGACAGGTCGACGCTGTTACATTACGACAGAAAATGAATTGTATGTGGCAGTACAAAGATGTTTGGATGATGTGAATGTCACCCAAACATACTATAGTGTAAACGGATTGAAATAAAATATAGTATCCTTATAGATTATACTGATAGATAATATCTTGAATACGTAAATTTATAAAGTGCCCGAAGTGTTACCAGGCTTTGGATATGTTTCATCTTCTAACAGCATTTTTTATTCAAATCCATTCATTCGTTGAAGTGACAAACAAATATATTATCAAGGATAGTAAAATCTACTAGGTTTACAATCCGAGTGGTCGCTGTACCATTAGTCACTTTAGTATACACATTGTCTGATTCACCAATGACCTTGTGTAGCCCGTAAGAATAAAGCCCATTGTCTTCTTTCCCTTCAAATATAAACCAGTTTATGGTACGTTTTTGCATTCCAAAAAACTTTAAAGTTTTACATTAACGATCACAATTATTCAAAATACATGTTTCTATGCATCTAGCTGTAATAGGACGAGAACATAAAATACAGGAAATGTTATATTTAATAATAATGAAAACGCAAACGAGGAGACATGTTTCCTGACGATAACATGTTTATTACCTAATTGTGTTGCATAATTTTGGATATAATTAAAATTGCGTTCCACAAACAAAATCGACTTCAATTGTGGCGAAACCAGTTATAATGATTTAAAAACTCAACCACGGAACCAATTTTTATATTCTTTCAGAAAAAAATTCTAAATCGGTTTCCAACTGATGGAGCTATGAGGTAAGAAACATTTTAAAAAATACTATCAAAAACCTCCTTTTTAAAGTCGGTTTAATATAGATTTTTTATCGTCGTATTACGTTCCAATGTGATAAATTACAATGAAAATTTTGATATCGATGAAATTAAAGTTTCCGTATTTGTACACAATAGAATAAAATACGAAACTAAGTTAATATGCGAGTAAAGCCGATAAATAATTACAAAATAGTATAATTCTAACATACCTACTCTTGGAGCAAACAATCTACTTGTGGAGCCTCATCTGTTTCATATAAATTGTAATGTTTTTGCGAATAAAAAAATTAATTGATTGACTCACAAGTAGTTATTTTCAATAATAAGATATATGCAAAAATAAAAAAAAAACTCAACTCTGTTGATACTCTTATTTTTTATCAAGCACGACAAGTTCTATTCATATCCGAATCAAGCCATGACGAGTTTCTACTATAAACAAGTGGTTAGATTTTTCAACCTTCATGTACAAAATGACATCGACAGGTAGCACATTTTTGTTTACCAACTCCCGAGTTTTTCTTCTTCTTTTGTTCGTGATCTCTACTTTAAAGATTTCATGTTTTCAGACATATTTAAAACCAGCGGATTGACACGTCTGAAAGTCAATACTTTCTCAATAGTCTCAATAGACGTGTCAATACGCTGACCACTTTTTATTTATATAAGTTCGCAACTAAAATTGAATTCCCTCTATTTGTTCTTGGTTTATTCAAACGTATACAATAACATGTTAACCCAATTCTTATAACATTATCGTGATAAAAAAAATATCTCGAAATATGAAAAATGCTTCCGTTGTACTTAATCAGCTAGCTTTTGTAATGTTTACCGTCAAACTAACGCACTGTTGAGACATTCGCCTTAAAAGTCTTATCGGTTTCTTTATAATCTTATCAAAATTGCTATTATTACATAATTACATACTAATACATAATTGTCATTGCCGAATTAAAGAGCAGGTCACGGCGTCTTTGATTGTAAGCCATCACATGCCATCATGCCCTAAACTCGGGAATCAATAAAAATGACTTCTTTATTATTATTTTTAAATACTTTTTCACCTACTTCCGTTTTAAACATAAATATACAGAATATTATTATATCTAGAGACGTAGCTCCAATAACTATAAATATAAATAATCTTACATACATAATCTAGACATACAAACTTCATATGCTCTATTTTGAATTTTGATGCATGTTTGTCAGATAAGATAAAATTATCAAAGTGTCTCATGAATGGTGCAAAATATTTGTAACGAATTTTAATAATTCTTTTAATAGTATTACTGGAATTACACGGTGTATGGTCACAACTTTCCATCTGGTAGGTCGCAACTCGCGACATTGTTTGCCAAACTGTCAGTTGGAAAGTTGTAACCGTCGCTTAGAAAAGTAATCGTTATAATGTAGAACAGTTATACATCTCAGCGTACCACTCCTGAGGAGGAATTTTGCTTTGTGCATATCAGAGTTTGGACCAAACAGATTACCAATCAAAGTAAAACAATCATGATTACGAGCCAGCTGTACAAGAAAAATATGTGACTGTAAAACCATTGCGTATTAACACTACTGAGTATTATTACATATTCTGCGACTGTAGTAACTTTTTTTATAAAACATAGAATGGCAAACAAGCTGACGGCCCACCTGATGAAAAGTGGTAACCGTCGCCTATAGACATGAGCAGTACCATAGACATAACAGAGTCTACTGTTTCGCCCATGATACCCCCCATGCATTGCCATTCCTGAGGACTCAGGTGTTATTCCTCCATACTCAGTAAATTCACGCCATATCCCAACCTTCAAACCGAAACACAGCCATGCAAACACAACTACTTTACGGTTGAAACACGAATGGGACAGAGGTACCCAAGCAATCGACTTTTGTACGAACTCTCCCTCTGGTAAGTTTAATATACCTAACTACTTATCTATTCTATGGGACCCTCACTTTAGCGGCTTCAGTGGCACTTACCAATAGTCAAAAGATACGTCATGTTTTGCTAATTCTCAAAACAATTTTAATAATTCTTTTTCGAACAATTTATTGTTCTTAACCTTATTTTAATAAGGTTTGTATTACTCTATACATCTTTAACACGACTTTCTACACAATTTTCTTCGTAGAACAAATTCTTAATTTTCTATTTTTTTTTTTTTTTTTGTTTATCATGGCTACATCTAGAAGCATAAATTATTGTTGAAAAAAAAATTAAATATGTACATACAATCACATGTCATTGTCACCAATTCTAAAATCTATTTTAAAATGCAACCACACAAATGAATGATTAATTCTCAATGTGATAAGTAAACAATATTATTCCTGGTGATGATCCTATATATTACTTATATGCTAAATAAATTTAGATATTTTTATTACATACTTTTTTATTATCAAATCGACACAGGCGTTCGCAACTCAGCAACAGCCTACACTGCGGCAAAGTTAATTGCCACAGCGTCGAATATCATATACGAGTAAATGCTACAGTACCTATAACATCACGAACGACACACAAATATTGACAAAGCAGCAAATTCCGCAACTTCGGCCAGTCGTGAGTATTTTTATACGACTTGGGAAAACAAGCTAACTCTACACCTATAAGAGAATGATTACATCAAACAATACACTGGGATGGAGGGAAAAGGATGGCCAGTCATAGGGTGTAACAGCTCCATTGCTAGTAATATAACCTATCAGGTCGCCTTCCACGTCATTCTTTCTGTATACCAACGTGATTAATAATCGTTGAATGTGTCACAATGATTACGAAAAAAAATCCGAATTAATCTAGCCGTTAAGTTTTTGAGTTTGTACTTAGCTATTTTTATTTATATAGATTTATAATTAAACACCATATATTTTAAACAAACCCTAAAATACCCGTTGTCACAAAAATTTAACAAATTAATTCGACTATCAATCAACTACTAGCTTTGCCCACGATTACAAAAAGGTAAAAAATGGCGACTAATTGTGTAACATTCTTAACTAAAAAACAAGTGAATTAAGAAACTCCAAAAATAAAAATATCGTGATATAAAAATTAAAGAAAAGAATGTTACATATATAATTTTAAGTTTTTTGAAACGCACTGCACAATTTACAATTACATAAACACATTCTTCAAAACAAATATATCGCTGAAATTAAAAGACATTGTCAATTGTCTTATTCTTGCATTCCTATGCAAATAAAACATCACAGTTATAAATGCAAACATAAACGAAATACTTAAGCAAGTAAATATTTAAAACATATTGCATTACATGTAGAATTAAATGTTTTATCTATATGTTTGTGTACAATAAAGAATATTTCTGATGACAATGCTATCTAATTGTCACAGGCGTACACATCGTATCAAGTTTACTAGAAAGATTGAATAACATATTCTGTTAATAGGGCGACTATATTATTCTGGTCATACGAGAAATTTTAGGAATTTTAGTACTAAGACGTTTACATGTGCCTAATGAAATATCTTATCGGCAACTTAAATCAGGTAACGAATATTAAAAAACATATAGTACTCACAAGTTACATATAGAACTTGTGCGTAAAATTTTATGATTCTAAACCCATCAATTTGGGCCGCGGACGATCTCTCAGTCAATCATATATCTATGATTATATTAAGTAGATAATGAAAGGCAAAAAGAAATTAATGGGCTCTTCTTTCTATAACATTTTTACACAAATCAAGATTATCGTAGTAAAAGTCCCGTATTTACCAAAATGTATGGTAACCCTACTTGTTGATTAAATTACAGCAATCGCCGACGACCCGCGGCTGTGAAGTGATGTGCACTTGCTACACGATAATGCTTTGATAATTCAATCACATTCTATGGAAAGGCTTGAGTAACAAGCTTTATTGATGCTGTAAATTTATCTTTCATCTACATTGTTACATTATCATCTGTAATATGAAAATTTATGAAACCAAGTGCTAGTTTGGTTCACACCGAATTTTTTTTGTGTTTTAGCACCACAAGTTTCAAAGAATATACTGTAACACCCATGTCTGCTCATAGATAGCCATTCCTGGATATGATATATATGATGATACTATTATAAATACTTAGATGTAAGGTGTGCATATGATTATTTGCATATGTTTTATTAATATAAATGTATTTCTTTTTTTATTAGTTACACTGTTTGCACCAAATAGCTACCATCTTTTTTTCTCCCCTACCTAAAGGTTGTCTGGAAGCAATCTCTTCCTTTGTGAGTGATAATACCGCCATTTGTACTTCATAATAAATATATATATATATAACAAACAAACGGAACAAAAGTTGTTGTTGATAATATATATATATATATATATTATCAACAAATGTTCTGGAGATTGGCGAAACAACTTTTGTTCCGCCAATCTCCAGAACTTTCAACTATTTTTTATTATTATTGTTTTTAATTGAACAGGTTTAGTTGCATATTGGTCTTATACTGTTTTGTAAATATTGATGTTGGTTCAATATTTTTAGAAATAAAAATAATATTGTAATATTACCAGAATAACAAATTCTAAAGCTAGCATTCTAAAACATCATACCCTAAGCCCATTTTGAAAATATTCAAATTTTTGTGTCTTTGTAAAATAAGCTTTGCTGCCTATACTTGTAATAAATAGGTACTTAACATTAAATGTTCTATAGAGAAGAATTAATAATAGGAACAAACAGAATGAGCTAACCTGACTTCATCATTACCTATCTGCCCGTACTGGTATTCTGCCAATGTAAATCCATAAAATTCCATTTTAGACTTAAAGCCTAGTGATCAAACAGATTTAATTTTAGAATAAATTGGCATTGTGTAGGACTTATTCCACCTAGTTTTTATTCTTTATAAATATTATTATTAAGTATTAGTAAAATAACTTTCTATACTTTTTATTTGATTCTATAACTCTGAAAATTAACTCATATATTCAACATTTAGCAACTTAATATAATATTAACATATATACAAAGTAAAGAACAATAATTAAGTATATCTAACTAATCATGCATGACAAATGGTACTTTCTTATAAAGTATGTATCACTTGTACATCTGTATCAAAACACTGGCATGGGGTACTTTAATCGTCTCTCATTATGTTAAATAAACATAAAAGACAGGATGTGTTATGACATGACACTGCATAATAATAACTGCTCCTAAAACTGAATAATTACCTATAATATTAAAATCATTAACTATCCCCGAGTAATTTTAATAACACTTTTAAACATATAAACAGCCAGTTGAAATTTAAATACATTATTGTTTAGATAATATAAAATTAACATTTTATATTTTTTATTAATGTTTCTAATATAATTGTTAATAAAATACTTATTATTAACATATATAAATAATAACGCTTAATTTTCTTGACCTACGAAAATAAGTAGAGGTTACAACATGACAATAACAAAAATAATAAGATTGAGCGTGGGAGCAGTCAATGAACTTTTCTACTATGAATTACTTTCCCAACTGAATCGGTACTCCTTGTAAGTTATAAGATGATTCGGGTCATTTCAACCGCATTCCAAACGATATGCTATGAGAAAAATACGATAGACAAGATACAACCTCCGTGCACTTCATTTCCCTATTTAGCTATAACTATATTATTAAAAAATATGCCAAAAAAAAAGGATTACTTATTTTATAGTTTTTTCAGTGTATTATTTCTAGAAATTCCATAATAATAAATTGTAATTATAATAAACGCGTGGTAAACGCGGTAAGTGATTAAAGGGTGTACTTACCAATTCATATTTTGTTGTCAGCAATATCCAAGACTAAACAGTACATTAATTAAATTTTAAAATATTTTATTTTCTTTTTTCATAACAACTGCATTAGAATTTAGTAAAACACGTGTAGCACGGCCGCCCACTTTGCGTCGTCCGTCCGTTGCACTTATCTGGCTGGTGTTGTTATATGTTAATATTTATAATTAAACTTTGTATATTTTTTATAGTTCCTTGTGTATTCGTTTCTTAGGTATATAATTAAAAATTTATATAATAATTAATTTCTACTTTATACATACTGAAAATAAAATTAATGCTATATTTATGATTTACATTAAATAGGTAAGTATGACAGAGCAAGTAAACTCTTAATATGCAATAAGAAAAGATACGCTTCCAAGCTAAAACACCAATATAAAAAAAAACAATAGTAGTTGACAGTTGCAGTCACATATGCACGAAATCTGAAAATACGTGTATGTTACCTTTTCAAACCAACAACACAATAAAATATTTGAATATTTTAATGTTGTATCGCTTTCTATATATTCTAAATATTAACATTGTTCTCATAAAGGCCTAGTTACTTCATATGTAAAAATTGACAAATTTTATTTAAAAAATGTACAATAAAATAAGGACTTATGTTTACTTGCTGTATTTCAATTTGAATTGTATATATCTTCTGATAGAAGAGCAATAAATAAATCCTCGTTGATGCAGTAAACAATAATAATACTCTGATTATAAATTTAGTTCCATAACTAACAGTATTTGTAAAAGAACATATATTATCATTTTGAAAATATTTACATATTTATATATTGCCGATGTTGTGAATGCTTATGAGCAGCGGTAGTCCTTTAAAAATAGGTAAGTCGCATGCTCTTACCGTCATAAAAAATAAAAAAAGAATAGTATTATTTATAATATTGTAACATTATATTTATTTTATTGTACCGATTTTTTTTTTAATACAAATGTCTCAGATTCTTTGTAGACTTAAAATATGTAGTCATGTCAAAAATAATCGAAGTGGGAGCTTTTTAATTTCATACAAATTTTTGAAAATACCTACGTATGAGAATAAAAAATATGAATTAATTGTAATTAAGTTGACTAAATGTAAAAGTTTTTGAATTGTATTTTATAATAATTGTCAATTGTTAATGTTATTTTGTTAATCCTTATCCAAATAAATACTTATATCACTTTAAATAAAAACAGTGGCAATTTTGACTAATTCTGGTACCGGATCCATATTTAAAGTATACATGGATTTTCATACTTCAATTTTGAAAGCAATCGGTTAAATTACAGACATTCGTTGCATAATATATATATACAGTCATATTTAAAATTTCCAATTTTTTGACGTTACCTGAGAATTATAATAGTTTTGTTAATAATGCAAGTAATTGTGTCATAACGATGTACTTTAATTAATTATGAATAATTAGTTCTATTTACCCGTTTTAAGATTGAATGCTCTATTTATATAATGTAAGGGTCCGCCATCATGGAACATATTCTTAATATTTGCTGAAGGCGGTAACATAGTTTTCGCAAAAAAATAATTGAAGTAATTTAAGCTTAATAGAAACTCAAATTTTTCATAATATATATCCTCAATTTTTGTATTTTAGACTATTCACGATCAAGTTGTTTGAATCAATTCGTGACGTAGCCGTAGTATATATAACGTGAGGCAAATTATATAAAATGAGAAAGATTGAAATGCTTCAGTTTGATTGCCGTAGGTAAGATTTTTATTGTTAATCTATGCTAAGACTTGATTGTTAATACTTGTGACAGTGACGTTGATATTCCTGAGTTTCTGTCTGACTAGTGTTCTATTTTTAAAATTGGCTAGTGACCTATTCAGCATTTCTAATTAAATAGGTTATCTTCTGTTTTAAATAAAAAGCTTTTGTTTTTTTTTGTTCAATATTAAATATGTTGACATTATCTAAAAATGGTTAACGCGAGTTTAGCTTATGAAATATTACTGTACATAAACTCGTTTTATTTCGGTCTGTTTGCTACTTGCGAACTAGGTACATTAATCTTAAAATCGGTATTGATTATAGAAAAGTATGATGTAGAGAAGGATCCTACAAAATTGGGCCAGGATTATGGTGTGCTACTAGGACTATTTATCATTGAAGCGGCTAGACTTATACTAGGTCGAAATGGCAGTCTTAGCGAAAGAGGTAAGTCTTCCAAATTTAATATTTTTCTTATATTTTCGAATTAAATAAACATATATTATGCAATTTACATAAAGATTTTTAAATGTGTATAAAATTAGTTAGAAATCATTCAAATGACATCAAAAATGAGGAGGTTTTTAATTTATGTAAATTTAAATCAATATTGTTTTATGTGTCTTATACCACATAGGAAATAAATAAAATATATTCATCTATATTTGTTCAAATAGAAATTTTGAAATTCATGGTATTTACTCATTGTTTCTCATTTTTTCAGTTTTCAGTTATTTTTTGTGATTTCTGTATAATCCCATTTAATAATATATGTTTTATTTTTATAGATGTGCCAGTAATGTTCTCTGTGCTGCTAACGGTTCCTTCTATAGTGGGTGTGTTATATCTTCTCATATGGCAAGTAGTTGTTCTAAGAATAGAATATATCTGGTGCACTTTGATGCTTGCATTACAAACACTGGAGTTCATATTTGCATCTATGTTTGTTGTCACAATGTGTAAAGGGCCATCCTATGATTGAGGTATTAAAACTATCACATTATCAAAACATAAGCATAACATTTCCATTCAGAACATAAAAAAACAATATCCTACATTATATAAGTTTTTAAAGATATAAAACCCTTCAAAATATTTAACACTTCTTAATTAAATATGTATTTCTGTACAGGTAGAAAAATTTACTAAAAAAATCATTTTATCTATCTTAAACTCTGTCTAAATATACAGAAAATTTATGAAATATAAAGAACTTATTAGATTTGTAATTTTATTGTTGTGCTAGGGATAATACATGCTGCATTAGACTTATCTGCCAATTTATTATAACATAATAAGTGTATTCCTTCCTATAAAGCTGGCAACATGTAGTGAATGTCTATGGGCAGTTGTAATTAATTACCATCAGGTGAGCCATGTCCTTATTTGTACCTATGTTATAAAAGAAAAAACATTTAATAAATAAATTTTATTTTAATAATTCTTTTTTAACTGCTTGAGCTTTTTGATCTTTTTTGTAATAAATTCTTAATTTGAATGAATGTTACGATATGCAGTAATTACCGAAAAGAAGGTATATAAACAACAATAGTAAAGAAAGGTTTGTAAGTGACTACATTTTTATGAATAATAATGAATACTATACTACTTTCAACATGAAATGATAAACACTATTAGTTTTGTATAATTTTATTTATTTTAAACAAACTAATGTTTTGGTTTCATATTCCTTGATCAACATTTTTCTTTAATTAAAAAACAATTCCCAAGGGCAGTAATGATTTGTCATTTGGTTTAAATGAAGAAGTTAAAACTTTTAAGTATATCTGATAAACAAATAATTGAGTAGATATGGCAAAATACCTCTTTATGACTATTGAGAATTTTGAAATCCTTATTTTATGATTATGTACCTTGACTGGCCTCATATTCATCTTGTTATTAAAAATTCTAACATATTAAATGTAAATACATGCATAGGATATCATAATTTTTTATAACTTTAATTCTGATATTAAGTTTATAAACATTTACACTGTGTTTGTATGTAGATGTTGTAGCACAAATGTATATTAAAATTGTATGTGAATACATATTTTTGACATGCAGTTTTTCTGCAAATTTTATAGTAATATAGAGATTGATACCCACCCATAAATGATTCAAAATATTTATTGTAACCCCACAAAACTTTAGAAAAATGTTTTCATATTATAATAATTTAAGTCTGTGTATAACTTATTAGTTTAATTATTTAAATGTAATAATTACTTGGTGCATATTAAATTTAGCTATATATTATTACAATAGCATAAAATTTCCCTTATATTCATTTTTATCTGTTGTTTCATGTACTTATTTGTGCAAAATTAAAAAAATCCATCCCATGTATATGTAACTGAAGTGATAAAGTGGCCTTTATTTAGATGTTTATACAATAAATTACTATCAAGCTGAATCTTCCATTGTACAGTAGAGATTTACATGTTAACCAAAAATTATTTAACTTTTGTGTGTTGTATATTATATAATTCAAATGCTTGTTGATGTATGTTTAAAATTCTAAATAATAGTAATAAAAAATGCAATGTACTTTCATAAAAACAGTATTAAAATTCTAAATATTTTAATATAAATATGTAATTGCAAAATTTGCAAAGCTGTTTAATCAAAAGAAACATTCTAGTCTATACAAATAAGTTCTAATACTGTTATAAGTAATTTACAGTGAGATGCTCTAGTCCATCATATAAATTTAGCTATCATAAGGACAAGTATTCAACAAATGAAACAAATATCAAGAATATAATGACTATAGATTTTTATATTATTATATCTATACAATCCATCATATTGGTACCTATTTATGTAAAAGTGCATATTTTTTGCTGTATAATAAAGTATATTAACAGTTGAAATTATCAATTGACTAGATTATTTTCCCAATTTAAATGAATTTTAATTACAAAGATTCAGCAGACTTCCTATATTCCGCTTGTAAATACAATGGCATCCGTCCTTTAGCCATCTTATCCCTTTTGTGAACTCTTAACTCATGTCTCATTAGTGCCTTTCGTGTTCCATACTTATTCCCACACAATTTACATCCAAAATCCTTAATCCCAGCATGATCTGACTTAAAATGAACATCCATATCTCGCTTGGTATAAAATCCTCTTCCACATTCAATACATTTATGTGGTCTTTCTTTTTTATGAGTCAAAATGTGTCTGTTTAAATTGCTCCTTGTCAAAAATCTTAACTCACATTTATCACATGAAAATGGCTTGTCTCCTGTATGAGTACGTATATGTATTTTCAATGACTCCAAAAACCGCCCTCGGTATGGACAAATTTGACATTGGAAAGGTAAATCAAAAGTATGCAACTGAAGATGTCTAAATAAGTTGTCTTTGCGATAAAGTTTTCCACACACATCACATACCAGATGTGAAGCTGACTGATGTCGTTCTAAATGTTTGCTGTACAACTGAGCAGTCAATAGTCTAAAACATATTGAACACTGGATTCGTATATTTCTGTGCTGCTTTGAATTTTTATGTAATATATACGCCTCCTTTGTAGTATACTTTAAATTACATGTGTTACATTTATAAACTTTCGGGGAAAGCTCATTTTCCAGTTCTACTTCATTTTCAGTATCCAAGGATCCACCACGCATTTGTAAATCGGAATACGTGGACATATGACGAAGAAAACTATCGGAATCTTTAGCCGACTTTCGAAATAATATGGCGCCTTGTAAAAGGGAGTTACAAGAATTACACAAATATTTAGGGTACTCGTCATATTCACTTATATCAATATCACCAAATGTACGAATTGCTTGTGAAATGTCTATTTTTTCTTGCGATGAGAATATTGGTATATCACCTTCATTTAAACATATCCTGCATTTCTGAATCTTCGTATTTTTTTTACTTATATTTTTTATATTAATTATAGATGACTGTTCTCCCAGTTGTGTTCTCTGGCGTTTACGCCTTATTATTTTCATTTTAAAATATGCTGATGCCATAGGTAATGATTTTATTTCGCAGAGGGGAACTAATTGAATTGCTATAAGTGTTGGCGCCGGTCTTATATACACGAAACTTAAATAATAAAATTCATGTTAGATATACTCGATGATCATGACGTTGAAAGCAAAGCATCGATGTTGCTGTATGAAAAATTTACATCGATGTTAACAGAATCGATCATCGAAGATACGGCCTCACGTACGACCAATGCAACGTATGAAACAAATTACATATTTTATCGTTTGTTAGTAAAAATTTATATTGTGTAGTTGTGCGTGAGTCGCACTATTTGAGTACTATCGCGACATTAACGCCATTCGAAAGACTGTTTTTAAAAGCTGGCTCTACTCTTTATCAACAAAGAAATAGATTAAAAGGTTCTTCTTTATCAAAATTACTTTTCCTGCAGTCAGTTGATAAAAAGTATTGAATATACAATAATTTGTTCTGTTTCTTAATACATTTCGAACGATATTACTGTATTTTATTGTGTTGTTAATAATCAGTGCTAAAATTATCGATGTTACCCAAATTTAATATTCGGTTTATAATGAATATCAAATTTTGATTATGACATCAATGTCAATATCAATGTTTTTCAAATATCGATCATCCCTACAATGTATGTTATCTTTTCGAAGTAACAACACAATGAAAATTAGAAAAAAAATGTTTATCCATAGCGTTGAATCGCTATCTATGTAAATCTCCATTCAAAATATTTAATATAAGTGTGGCGTATTACCATCATAATCCGTTTTTTTTAATGTTTTTTATACTGACTTTCTATTGTTCTTATGTTTTACGATTCTGTCGTACATAGTCTTTATTTTTTCCTACTGATGAAGACGTGATAAAAGAAAACTTCAATATTAAGCATTTTATTTACACACTCGTTTCTCTTAATAAATATATAACTTGACATCGCAATTATAAAAAATCCACGGGTATTAAAGAAAACAGGCGCAAAAATTTCGCAAACAATTACTAATTCAAATATTTTATATATAAAAACGCATCCAAGTACTGAAATGTCGATTTTATAATATATGTTGTAATACTTTCGAAATTTCTTATAAAAACTTTTATCGAAAATTGGTAATTTTTAGTAAATTTAAATTGGCAACACTTATGCATTACAAAATTCAAACTATAGGGTCGAGTAGTACATCAACGATAACTCTAAGAACGTTACTAATGAATGATATTAGTAACCGGTTGATTACATTTTGTAGTTAAATGATTTTTTTATACAACTTAGAATGGCAAACAAGCTGACGGCCCACCTGATGGAAAGTGGTAACCGGCGCCTATAGACATGGCAGTACCATGGACATAACAGAGTATACTGTTTCGCCCATGATATCCCCCATGCGTTGCCATTCCTGAGGACTCGAGTGTTATTCATCTTATTTAAAAATCAATTGAATAATCCGAATGATTTGCTCAGCACTGAAGAAGGGCCAAATTAAAAGTACCCGTAACCGACGAGCGTGTATGACAAGATTGATGAATGTGGAAGAAGCGAAAGAGGTTTGTTTGAATCGAAGCATTTGGCGTTCCATTGTTTCTGCCTACCCTAATGGAAGACAGGCGTGACAGATATGTATGTATGTATGATTTGCTCAGTCGAATAATTAGTAAAATCGCGCATAGCTACCTCAAGTGCATTGCAGGGACTGAATGGATGCAGATGCCTCAGAACGGTTCCTTATGATAGTTATAATTGTTCCTGGTTCTAAACATACCTACATTTTTGTATCGGTTCATCTGATATGGGGCCGCCGTTTCTAAAACCTGTCCCCCAAGACCAGAAGCGTTAGTTCCCCGGATTTTGGAGTTTTCACCCGGACATTTCAATACATTTTTAAATCACTTACACTTGATAAAAATATATAATACTCCGTACTTGATAGAAGAAAACTTTAATTGTAAGCCTCTTTTGTTGCATGAAATAGTGTGTTTAATCGTTCTTGTGACAACGAGTAATTTTGCTTTATTTTTTAACCTTTTTAGGTATTAAATAAGAAATAAACAAATCCAATATTTTTATTGGGTTTGTTTATTTTTTAGTAGTAAAATAGCGTCGACAGCGCGTGCGGTGAAGTATCTAGTTTTTATTTAGGTACATAAATTATGGGAACAGATCTGATCGAAAACCCGGACTTTTATTGTAGTCCGGATTGTACCCGGACTACAATTTAATCAAACAAAACAATGTAACAAATTTTTCGGGACGCTCCCGGACGTCTTCCAAACTAGGATAAATACGGGGAAACCTAGACGGATGGTAGGCCTAATCTGATACAATGATGGACCGGTTTTCAATGTTGTTATGAGGTTTCCTGGATTCCATTTTCTTTTCTTACAGGAACAGTAAAGCAGTACTTGCTTGATGGTAAGAATACGTCATTTATAGGACAAATAATATTGCTTATAAATTTATAATACAAAAACAAGAAAAATATTAATAAATAATTAATTAAAAAATATACTACTCTTACAGAAATTCTAGCCTAAGACGACAAACTTTTTATATTTCTATTGTTTTGGATCACAGACTTAACAGAAGCATTACATTGCAATGGGGTTGTTATTAACTGCTGACCCCCGGGGGGAAAGGGATTGTTAGTAATGAGGTCTAATAGCCCCATTACTAGCAATATACCCTCTTAGGTCGACCTCCACACGGTTCCCCCTGGAAACCATCATGGTTAATTTTTGTCGAATTAATTATGGTGGGCCACCTATGGTTCATTCATTCTCACCATGATCTTCCACTGGTGCCCCACTAGTTTATACCGATAGCGCAGGTGGGGTTATCATTTCATTATCATCCATTAAAAAAAAACTGCTGACCCCAATACTCTCAATCGCTTTTCTCACTGATTATGTTGTTAAGGCACTATAAAGTAACAAAAAACAAACACGCTTTCAAATTTATAATTGTAAGAATTATATAGCAACCTCAGTGTGTATATAAAATAAACATATTTTTCAAAATGTGTTCATTTTACCTACAAAAAACCAGACTAGTTATTAATAAATAGAAAATTTTTAAAGGTCACAGATTGTATACACAATCATAAAATGCTACTGTACAGATAAACTTGAAAAATATCAGTAATTATGGAATATTTTTTTAATATTGCAAGATATATTTTCAGTCTTAATACAAAATGTAATGACTACATATTACAAACAACAATGATTACAGAAAATCACCTGAAGCTGATCTACTGTTGTTTCAATAAAGCTTATTGATTGTAGACAGAGACAACATGGGCTCCAAAGATGATGACAGACCCCAAATTCTAGAGAACTTGGATTACTCACCACTACTATGATTTATTTTTATATTTTTAGATTTTATGGAGATATTTATTTTTCTATTAAGTGCTATTGAAACAGTCTATAAAATATTGCTCCATATCCAGATTACCAAGTCAACAAAACATCATCAATCAATCAAAACAATAGAGAAAACCTTACCACTATAATACCTAGGTGGGTAATCACTACAAAAAAAATATAATATTGTGTGAATGTAAACACAATTTAATATTAACTATAGTTTAACAGGTTTTAAGATATTTTGTTGAATGTTTAAAGATCTTGTTTTTTATGTTCTGCTTCTAAATATGAGGGCATTCTACCAAAGAGCAACTTTTCTCTTTTATGCACATGCCTCTGGTGCTTCATCATAGCATTTCTGTACCCAAATGCCTTTCCACACATATTGCAGACATGATTCTTTATGCCCAAATGGTCGGCTTCAAAATGTCTTTGCAACAGTAGTTTTGTATGAAACCCTCTTTTACAAGTATCACATTTATACTGTGGTTCTTTATGTTTCAACATATGACTATTTAAGTTACTTTTAAACAAAAATCTGGCAGGGCATTCAGTACACATGTACCTATAATCTCCAGTATGTGTTCTCATATGGGTTTTCAATAATTCTGCATAACGGCCTTTATATGGGCAAAATGTACATTTATAAGGAAAGTCATTCCTGTGTCTCAAGCTATGATTGTGATATGCACAACGTAGTCTAAAAGACTTCCCACAAACATCACATACATATTTCTTATGGTCTGGATCATGCATAGTTATGTGTTCTTTATAATATGATCTGTTTATAACCTTGTGACAGATATGACATGTAACTTTAGGTGTATATTTACTTTTTTCTTTCTTTTCCTCCATTTTAACATCTTTATTCTCAATTTCAGATATATTTGGCCATTTTTGGGCAATTTGATTGTCATATGGCATACACTCAGCATAATCAAAATCTGATTCTGGTATATTGTCTGCTGGGTCACTTTCTTGTTTAACAGGCTTTCGTAACACTTCATCTGAACGTTTTGCCGTATTTCTAAACATCATAGCAGCATTAATAAACTTAAAACAGATATCACACAGTAATTTTGGATATTCATCCTCTTCATTTACTTTAATATCACCAAAGTATTGTAAAGCCTCAATAGCATCATGAGAATTTTCACTATCATATATAGATATCGTACCTTTTTCCAGACAAACCCTGCATTTGGATTGTAAGTCATCTTTTATTTTCATAATACAAGATTTTGGTAAATCCTGGTAGTAACTATAAATGTCTGGTGTTTTTTTGCTTTTTAACATTTTTAATAGATAGTAAGAAGTAGCCATAATTAGATTAATACAAATTTAAATAGAATTAATTCGTTGATGCTTTCCATACACAAACTAGAAATGATTCTATTTCTGAACAATGGTAAAAGTAATGTCTTAATAAGTTTCAACAGTGAGAAGGTCGTCTAGTCACATCATTTTTACAATTACAATATAATCTCGATAAATAGTAAATAAAATAAATCATCGAAACGGGTACGTACATATATTTAATTCTGTGGCTAGAATAAAGTAGCCCGTAGCGGCCAAAACATTATTTAGTCTCCTCTTTTATGTACCTAATTGATAGTTATTATCATTGTTAATCACAATTATTATGCCAAACGGAATTAAAAACTTTAATTTTATTAAAATTGAATTTTCCATTTGCAATTGTTTATTTTATTCTTATGTTCATCGAACACAGATTAGACAGACTATGTCTACGCCAGAGGAAATTCTTCTTATAGAGGAATCTGTACATCAATGATTTGACAATATAAGGATTGGACATCGATAATAATACGCTCGACTACCGATAGTGTTATGCTCCTATATCGATATTTCTGTTCTAGATTTGGGATTAACTATAATTAATTTATATTTAGACATTTCTAATAATAAAACAATAGAAAATATAAATAAATCTTTATTTAAATAATATTTACAGAAATTCAATACCCGTATCATGTACAGCGAGTGCAAGCATTATTACTGGCCGATTATAAGCGACGAATAAATTTTTGTCGAGAAATGCTTCGTCGATGCTGAAAAGATAAAAATTTTTTAACTCCATATTATGGAGCGATGAATCGTGTTTGAAAAGAATAGGAGTGTTTAACAAGCATAATCTTCATCATTAGAGTGTCGTCAATCTTGTATTATTCCGAGAGGATCGTTTCAGCACAAATTTAAAGTGAATTTATGGGCAGGCATACTAGATGGCAAAATCGTCGGTCCATTCGAATTGCCACCGAGATTTAACGGTGCCCGTTAACTCCATTTTTTGAGACACGATCTTGCTAATTTGCTAGCAGATATACCGCAAGAAGTTTGCGAGAAAATGCGGTTACAGCACGACAAGTGACTGAATTTTTAAATGAAACATACGCAAATTGATGGATTGGACGTGGAGGCATAACAATAAAATAAAAAAAAAAAAAATCAAAATATGGTAAAATTTAATATTTAGCTTACTTACACTACACTTATACTAGCTTAGATAGAGTTAGATAATAGGTATCACTATCCCCCATAATCCGTTGGTCCCCTACTTACGGGACATTCGGTATAAGAAAAACATTATTCAATCAAATGTCGTTTGTTTTAAACTTTAGGAAAGGGATTGTTACTAATAGAGTGTAATAACCTCATTGCGGGGGGAAAGGGATTGTTAGCAATGAAGTTCGACAGCCCAATTGCTAGCAATATGCCCTATTAGGTCGACCTCCACGTGGTTCCCCATGGAAACCATCGTGAACAATTCTTGTTGAATTCGTCACGATGGGCTAACTGACCTATTTCATCCTCACCTATCATCATTAGCTGGTGCCCCCTCGGTGTATTCCGATAGCGCGGGTGAAGTTACCATTCCATTATCACCTATTAAAAAAAAACCTCATTGCTAGCAAAATACCCTATCAATTCGACTTCCACGTGGTTTCCTCTGGAAATCATTGTGATTAAATCTTGTTAAATTTGTTGCAATAGGTCGACTGATATGCTTTCATCCTCAACTATCATCTTTCACGGGTGCCCCATAAATGTATACCGACATAATTAACATTAAGTGCACTGTTTATCAACAAATCACAATTAAATCGAATTAACAATAAATATCTTTTAACTACAGGAATTATAAAAAAAAAAATAGCGGCCACATAGACATGAGCCGCCGTGTGGTCCCGACAGTCGCCTGCCGTATATAGTGTATCATATGTAGAATATGTTAACGAAGTCCATTCCTCGAAACTAATGTTAGTATTTATAAATTTGGTCTCAGAATTTTTCTTAGAAAAATTTTTTATTACCAAAAATTGAAAAAATTCTAAAACAAAAAAAATTGTATTTGTACCAACGGCACTAAAGAGAGCAAGATGGTTATATACCTATTATTATGTAGTGTAGTTGGTAAGGTAGAGGTGTTCTTTTTTTAAGAATGGAAATTTATTTTTAAATTTTTGGTAATATAAAAAATTTTCATGGTTGTTGCCATTCGTGTATTTCTGGATAGGTATCAACTAATGGAGTGATTACAGCCAACCCGATTCTCTTTCATCTTCAATATTTGTTTGTGGGAAATAAAATGAAATACAAAGTCCTCAAAAGCAATTTAATCTATAAAATAAAAAAGACAAAAACAACACGCCTGTACCTACACACCATAATCACAGAAATTTATTATCAAATATTTTTTTTTATAGTCACAATATATATAAAGAGCTACTGAGACTATAGAAAAATGTTATTGTTTACAATTTTTATATTCTACATTATAGACAGATTTTTAACAAATGAATTTCATCCCATTCCTTATTTATTATTTTATATGGTTCAATTAAAAAAATAAAGGTGGTTTTTAGGCGGATTGTCAGAAAAATAATAAAATTAATAATTTTAAACACTTCTTTCATTACCTACAATAAGTTTATAACAAATTTGTTTGAATACCATAAAAATATTAAATTAATATTATGTAATATAATATTAGGTACCATAGAATTTTTATAGATATAGATTTTGTGTATTATAGATGTTGCTAGACTTTGGAATAAAGTTTAGACATTTATAATCTCCTACTCTCTCCTTTTGAGTCTGGGATGGCGATGTCGCCTTTTGAATTTGTATGTCCATATAAGAGTACTGTTGATTTTAAATTGCCATTCGATTTGAGTCCAAAATATTTGAAACTAAAACTGCTATAAGTTAGTTTATACTAATAATTAAAATAATGTTTTTTTTATACCACTAAGGTTGCAGACAAGCCTACAGTCTATCTGATGGTAAGCGATTACCGTAGCCTATGAACGCCTGTAATACCAGAGGCATTACGTGCGCATTGCCGACCCTGAAAACATTTCTTTACCCCTTTTTTGAAGTTCTATGTTGTAGTCTCTTGGAACAACCTGGACAGGGATTTTGCTGTTATATTTGAAATTTAGAAAAATAAAGTAGTTATTCCCAAGGAAACATTGTATAGGTATGCATAAAAGATTATCCATTTTAGTGAATGGAATTTTAGGATGTATCTTATTATTTCCAAATATTTTGTAATATAACGTTGAAATTATGTGCAGAGTTATTATAAATAACTAAGAATTGACTTTGCAGAGATTATTATAACAATTCTAATTTAAAATAATTGTTTAAAAACAAAGCCAGTCATGTCAACTACTGCAAATGATGCACATTGTACATAATTCTAGCTATGTTATATAAAATGACAGGATGAAAAACTACAAAATTAACAGGATCTTAGCGACTCGTAGTAAAAAGTCCATTTAAAAGTCCCGTTTTGAGACCACCGTATACCTACAGAGAGTGAAGGAAAGTTAATAAGATTGTATATTATCTTACCCTCACTTTTTGTATAAGGAATAAATACATACTTATTTTAGTTTACATAAAAATAATTTTAAAAATATAAAAATTAAACTATAATCTTAAAATGTTCTTTGGGTAAATTGTGCTCTGCTATATAGATTTTATTTTTAGTGATCATTTTATATATAATACATTTTAATACTTCTGCTATAAGTATATATAGGGTGTAAGTGACAGGTTGACAAAACTGTAACAGTTCAGACCATTATTCTAAACTAAAAAACCAAGGGAAATTCTTTCCCGAAAATTTCAAATATTTTCCTGATTTTATTTCATTTAAAATTTGCTTTAAAATTGGATTGTAGAATTTAAAATACATTGCGCGGCGTCAAAATTAAGATTCGTTAATTATATGGCTGTGATGCATTTCCAGTGAGAAAATAATCTGCTATCTGATTTGGATGCTTTCGTTTCGATCAACCTGTCCCTTTCACTTGTATATACATATTAGTAACAAAAATAAAAATCAATATATATATAAATTAAACTAGTAAAGTAAACTACCTACATATACCTATTTATTTTATTTATTCCATTCGAATATTAGCAAACCGTTTCTTGCCTAATTAAGTATACATCATTATTTTTTCTACAATGTTAAAATTTTATTCAGCAGCTATATATAGTATATTAAATAAAGATACATCACAATTTTAACCTATGAATTTCGAATCTACAAAATTTTAATACAGTTCGTGTACAGCAAAGACATGTGGTTTCTTCGTGTTTCCCTTTCCGCTATATCATAGTGTTAGGAATGAGCAGTAATTCGCGGTATGTCTCGAGCGATTGCATGACAATTCACGAGGCATTGTTCTACAAATTAAATAGTGATACTACGTAACAGTGCGCTGTTTGAACATGTCTGTTGAAGATTGGTAGGAAGTTCTTTAGAACAGTCTAAAGGCTATTATACTATCTAGCCCTGAGGAGTCTTATAGGTACCTTGCCATAGATTCGATGGAGCGCCATGCGCAAAGCTGACGAGGTACCACTGTATACTTAGGTATGTATGTTTTATCCATGTATTTTGTATAACTACTATGATTTATTAATTTAGGAGAAATAAATGTACAGATTTATTTTTGCATGTTGCAGAAAGTTTAGTCATATATAATCCGGATTTATTGTACATATTTAGGTAGATCAAGATTGAATCAATTTTACTATCAGAAATGTAGAAACTCTGCAAAAGATCCCGTCGGTATACATAGATATTTAATTGAGTTAATAATTTATTAATTCTCGAAATTAAGCGTTGCTATATTCATTATAGAGAATTCCATAGGCTTATGCCAATGGACATAGGCGAAGTTGTTCTACTAAACAATTCTAATATACAGTCTGTTGTGGTAACTTTTAACTTGTCTATACAAGGAAGCATTTTACGGCGTAATACTTATTCAAATACAATATTAATATAAAAATTACTAACAAATTGGTGCATTACTTTTTCTAATTTTATTTTTAATGAATGCTAATAGTTTGAACATGCCGCATCATTTATATCCAAATTTTGCTAAGCCCAATCATAATTTAAATATTTAAAGTTACTTTATATTTCTTTAATTTCTAGGCCCTATAACTATAAATGGATAATAGTTTTATATACCAACATTATAATATAAATTGATCATATCATGAGAGTATATAGTGGATTTTAGTGCAATTATATTTATTGTTTAGTGTTAATAGAGATTACAAAAGTTTCAATTTATAAACTTAATTTTATAAACACTTGTAAAAAGGATAATGTACCGATTGACATACAAGTTCAAGTATTAAGGTTTTTTTTTTCAAATATAAGATAGTTTCAAGATAAATTTATAGGATGTTACATTTATATAAAATTATTATAAAATACTGATCATCTCAGCCCATGAATATTGCTATGTTTGTGAAAATGGGTGTTAGGATCCCTGAAATAGGATCGTTTATTCATTTGGTACAATTATGAATGGATGCGACTTCTAAGCATTGATTTGCTTAAATATTATTGTTTATTTACCTAATAGTATTGTTCAGACATATTTAACAATAATTTACTGACAAACAATGAGCGAGCAAATATGCACGGCTGTTTTTTAACAGCTAGTTTGATATATTTTTCTCCAACAAATAGGATCGAGTAGTAATAAATAAACTAAATATAGTAATTTTAGTCCTTAATTAGTTACACAGAGGCAGCATCTGTGTTCATTGCTGTGCACTCGTTGCTTGCCTTATGGTAAAACAAAATATGTCAAAAATAATGATCGAAAGAATTATCACGCATTTTATGGCTATCACAAATTGCAAAATACGTAGTAGTTATATAAAACAAAACTCAAAAATAAAAACAAAAAGATAATATTAATTTTAAAATCATTTTATAAAGTTAATTGACACATAGTGTTTACGTATAATTTTAACTAAAATTTTATGATCACCCATAAGTTATTCCTAAACTTGAACCAACCAGTCTTATTTAAGTAGTACGGGTCGAACTTTAAGTTCATATATTTTCATAATTGGAATACATGTAATAAAAAAAAAAAATAGAAAAATGTGACTGTTCGTAAAGTAATCAAATATTAATATTTCTATACGCCTTTTAGAGTATTATAATGGAGACTGTTGTTGGCAATATTATACTTGTACATAACAATTACCATTCTAATTTCATGTGAACTAACTCGCATAGGTATTTACTACTAATTTACATTATTATTATTACATTTAATTAATTTCACAATTTTTACTATAAATTCAACTATAATTTGGGTATATTTTATTACATGTATATAAGATGTTATATTCTGGGTCCATTTATTACAAATTATAGTTATTGTACAGTATTTCAAGGTGGAAAAATAACAGTACCTATTAGAAAACAGGATAAAATTAATATAACAAATAGTTTAATATTATTATTATAAATAACATAAAATATTTTCGTAAGTTTAAACTGGGAATAAAGCAAAAGTCAAAATTGAAGGTAATTTGTTTGCTTCAGTCTGTAATTTTATTTTTGTAATAATTGTACATAAAAGGCAATCTAAACAATCAAGAAAATAAGAATTTCGTTTACTTTTAATAAATTGTAGCGTAAAGTGACTGGACCCAGACTTCATATAATGCTGAAACATCTCATTCATTTAATAAGTAGATATTAATAATACTGTGATTTTATGACAACACTAACACAGACATAATACATGATTTTCACTAATTAATTAATTGAACTTTGCGATAATAAACGCTATGTGTATTATACCTAGGCAAAGAAATATTTTAGATACATATTCAAAGCGTGTATGAAAAGTACATTCAATATTGAGAATACATGTATAAGCCAATAAATATCTAGACATGTGAATTCGAATACATATAGACATGTATTTGTGTGAGTGTACATGATGGAAGACTACTAAGCAAAATCTAATATTTATAACACATCGGAAAAGCATTTACTTGATAAATTTTCTCTATGTAGTAACAATACAAATAAGCAATAGAAATGGTATCGAACTCATTCTAAGAACAAGAATGTTGTTTGTACCTAACTCTTACACCAACAGTACTCTAAACGATGCTTAATATCAACAGCATTGCTGTAGCGTGGACTTGTTTTTTTTTTTTTTATGTATGCAACTCTTTCAGGCACGCATTCTAGAAAATTCTATTATTTTCTTTTCTTTATTAAATAGTGATTGAAGTATATTAGTATTAATAAGTACTAATGAAACGTAATGGAATACCATTACGTATCAATGTAAAAAGCTTTTCAATATAATTCCCTATATGTTTAACAATGTCATGTTTTATATATGAAGTTGTGACTGTAACGTAACGGTAAATACTGATTAATTAGGACTACACAGCTAGTTAAATTTATTTAATCGATGCTGCATTAATTCGATGAAGGACTAATCACTCACTACTAATAAGCAGGTTGTACATGTTTTATAACAAATTAGCTTCTACCGGCGACTTCGCCTGCGTTACCAGAATATGCTTACTGACCGGAATATAAAAATGACCTGTTCTTCTGCATTTCAGTACTTCTAGAGTACTTGTTGTACTTCAATACCAAATTTTATTGTGATTAGTAAAGCCGTTAAGGCGCCAAAAGGCAACAAACAAACTCATTTTCACATTTATAATATTAGCAAGGATATATTACAGGTTCAGCAAAAGGCGATTGATAATACATCATTTTTTTTTATAACACAGGGGGCAAACGTGCATGCGGCTCACCTGATGGTAAGACACTCTATATAACGTTCATCTATTATGGCAGAAGTGGCAGCATTAAGCGCTACTGAAATATCTGCGCAATTCTTGATTCATTGTCGTATATTAAGAATACATTCCAGAGCAACTGGTTTCATAATACACATATATTTGTATAGTTAGTTGAAAGCTCTGTTCGGAATTAAGATGGGCACCAAACCATTCTAAGATGGCACGGACCACCCGACCTATCCTTAAATACGCTTATATTCACTAGTTGTGAGTAATATAATAAAACAAACAGGATTAAAACGAATAAATAATCTAAAGGAATGTATCTAATACAATGTCTAATAGACAATATTTTTTTTAACGGTTAAGTAGTGACGGACATTTAGTACGAATCTAATTTTTCTAATCACTATTTCTATTACTAACTACATTTTACCATCACAAAATTTACAGATTACGATTAACATACACACATAATGCAAGTATACAATTTATATGAAAGCTAAGTGTGAAATGTTTTCCTTTTTATACTGATATTATTACAATATGCAAAAATGATTCGAAAGTATTAAATGTAAAATTGTTTTGTCGTTGAACCTGTTTTCAGTATCAATTTTATGTAAAAAAAATTTTTCGATCTTTCATTAAGATAAAAAATTTCTATTTATATTATGCAGCATCTATTTGTATTATGTTAGTGTAAAAATTAAGTTTCCTTTGTTTATTGTATGTTATAGTATATATTTAGTTGAAATGAAGATGAAATCAAGGGTTTTAACTATTTAACTTGTATAATTGGTTTTAGTACCTACCAAATATTTAGGGTACATAAAAATGTAGGAACAAAATGTCATAATATCACAAAAAATCTAGTTACATGTATTAGTATTGAATCACTTTTTTTAATATTCTCTATTAGATTAATTTCATTGTCAAAAATTAAACTGCAGGTACATTATACAAAAATAGCAATAACTGGCAAATAGATTATCACCCAGAGAATGCAATTGGCCAGTCTCAATAATGGGATCAATGTCGTAAGGAAGTCCTACTAAAAACTACCCAAATAAAAATGGAGTTGTCAAATTCGAAATAAACAAATACTAAAATTAATATTTAAAATTGTCACATAATAAGACACAATTAAATAGAATCAAAGACAAACAAAAAAAAAAAAAACAAACGATGGAGCAACTCATTCTATTACTTTAAATGAAAATTGCCCCTTATTAAATTGCCCCTAATTTATATTTTGTGTGAACAGGGATGGCCCTGTTCACACAAAATATATTTCTATTAGTGATATCGCTAGTAGAAAAATGCGAAACGTATATACACACATAATCATAACACAATAACGCACACAAATATATGTGTGCGTCACAAAAATCTGCTCATGTATAGTGGCATACATGGATAACATTGTTTTTCAAAGTGATCAGGATATGAGCGATATGGCTAGCAGAAATTTTCTTTGTCTAAGGGAGTTCAACAGATAAATAACGAGAAATATAAATTATATTATTAGAATAAACAGCTTTCTAAGCATTAATACTGGCTATTATTAAAATACTTGTCATGGATAACATTAAAATCATCATTTGGTAAGGGCGGATAACAGTATTACAAAGCAACTAGACGCGTATTGCATCCACGCCATTTTTCTTGTAATTTCTTGTGCTCTTCATATTGTTGTTCGCTTATATGTTTCACAGTCGACGAGGCCTGTTAGGATCATTAAATTAGGATCAATAAATAACTTAAATTTAATAATATACCATAAAGTAGGCAGACAAGCATTAGGATTTTCACATTCAAAATAGAATAGGCAAAATTAATAGAAATAATTGTAGTTTTCACTTATCAAAAGACACACTCAGTAGAAATTATGCTCAAGTGTGAGAACTAAAATGAAAGGCGCTGAGAATGTAGGTTGGTTTAGTATGGATATAAAATTTGTCCATACCATACCAACCGCCTTTTTGATGAAAAGATACCTTTAGGTTATATCACTAAAAGATGTTAAGAAATAATTTTAAAATGAGTAACATTTAAAATCTGAAATTCCAAATAGACGACAATATCTAATAAATTATTTTTTTTCTGAGACAGGCGTTACAGGTATGTATGTAAAATTTTGCTTTAGAAAAAAGCGACTTGATCGTGTCAAAATTAATACACTTAAGTATATTTACTTTGGTGCATTAATGTTGCGAAAGCACTAGTGATTGTAAGAAAACTGATTAAAGTCGGTTTCAAAATAATCAAGACACCGTGTAATAATAACATAAAAAAAGATAAATTGAAAACATTTTGTTTAAACAGCACCAAATATTTCATGTACATTTAAATAGCAAAAAGGTAACCTCACCTTAATCTTCCTTGGATCCAAATTGGCTCCAAGCGACTGCACACCTTTGGCCAATTTCGACAGTGGGGAAAGCACCATCTCCCTGGTTGCACTGGACACTGGGCTGGCAATATTTTTCAGCTGCTTTAGAGCTGACTCACTATGAGATTGCGCTATATTCAGCGTAATTTCATGCTGCGAATTCGAACGTGTGTGAAAACTTGCGCTTTCATTTTGAATTGTTTGATTTTCTTCGTAATTCACATCGTTGGAGCTATGTGACAGCTTTTGCGATAGTAACAACGAGTTAGGCGGTAGTGGTTTCATGTTCTCGCCTTCGACTTGAATTTCAGGCGTCCTCAACACCTCCAATTCCATATCGAAGGGATTTATCTTGTTCATTTGACTCGGAGTTTTCAACGATTGTTTTTCTACGTTCGTGTCTAATTGTCCAGGTACAAATTCTACTTTTTCGTGTTCTATTTTCGAGGAATAGAGTGGATTTTCTATTAAGTCACAGTCGTTGTCGGTTTCACTTTTTTGACCAGTTTTACCAATGTAGTGTTGGGTGTTTTCGAAATTGTCTAAAGTGGGCTCAAAGATGTTGGTCCTGTTTTCATCGTCCGATGAATAATCGGAGCTTAGACCGTCGGAGAGGCTGCCCTTTTTCTTGTCGGGTTTGTTTTGTCCTAAGGTGAATATCTTTTTAGTGCGGGAAGCTCCTTGATCAAACTTTAGTTGGAGGCTCGGTCGTGCTCGGGCGTTGAGTGAGTGGCTCAGCTTGTTGAGTTTGCTGAACTGCTCAGTCATGTTGTTGAGGGCTTTGGATCCTGACAATTTACAATATTGCTTTAAAAATCATAAATATTTTGCATATTATCACTAATATTTGTAAAAATTTAGTTATCTTCTGTTTAAGCTAGGATGCCTATAGGTTTCAGTAATCACATACAATCAGACAAGCTGTTTCCTTCTCCTCTAGACATGGTATAATATTCTCATCGATAGAATTGTTTGCTAGAGATAACGATTCTATCAAGAGATTCGTTTATACTTTGTTTGGGGGGGGGGGGGGGGGTGCTTGCTTTCTACTTTGTTTAAAAATGACATTGTAAGTATTATGCACCCTAATATGTGATATTGTACATTGCACTAACGGAGTATGTATGCAAATGTGCACTGGCCACAGGAATAAAACGGCACTGAGTGGCGGACGGGCCTTTTGCGAGAAGTACTATTTGATCAAGGACTGAAGTGGCACCTGACGACCGCAACTGATGAATGTCTGGGGAAAGGATAGACAGGACAGGAATTAAGGTTCTAAGGGAAATACTTTTTTTAATTGATTTCAACTTTAACAACTACATCAGGAATGCAAATCCCTTTTTATTAAATTAAAAAGAATCTATAAATGTTTCTAAATTGGTCCTTAAAACTTTTTTAACCAATTTCAAGGTAAAGAAGGCAAAAACATTATTTAAACATCAATGTAATAAATATCATTGAGCAGGTACTTATGTAATAAATAATACATAAAAATAAAAATTGTTGATACATGAGCATTGCCCACAAAAAAAAAAAAAAAAAAAATTACAGCCCTGCCAGGAATAAATTATTTTCAAAAAGTATATTGCCAGTCACTCTGAATGATTTTAATAATACATACATTCAAATTTGTTCAGGCATTTAGAAGGCACGGTGGAATAAAGAAACTTACACACATATGTATATGAACCCTGAGAATATTACACTCCTTTATTGGGCAGTCGTGTAATAAATATTTGGGTATTTAAAATTATTTCTCAGGGAGGGCCTGGCCCCGAAAGTTCTACTCCTGCGGTGGGGACGGCACACACTGCCTAGTAGTAAATAAGTGAGAAGTGATACGAACCGACGCTGCGTATATCTGCCACGAGTTGGGTCTCGCTGACGTTTCGCGTGAGGGAGGGCAAGCGCGATACGTCCACGTAGAGAGACGAGCGTGCACCTGCACCCGCACTCGCACCCGGCTGCAGCTGCGGTTTTGAAAAGAAACTTTTTCTTATTTTATGTAAATGAGTTTATTTATTATGTTACCTCTTAATGTTTCAATAGATGAATCCATGAATTCCATTTGGGATGGAAAAAGACGGCCTCTTATCACAACCAAAACATTTTTTTACATGGGTATATAATCCATGAAATGCAATGCTTGGGATATCACAATGTATTTTGCGATGTCCATGGTGCTGCTCAGGTAACGGGTACCACTTAACATTAAGTTAGTTATAATTCCAAGCATCATAAGCACGTGACATGCCTAGTGTTAAAGGCGTCCGTAGGCTACAGTGACTGCCATCAGACGGGCTGTATGCTTGTTTGCCAACTTTATGGTACAAAAAAAGATCATATATAATTCTGGTGTACTATGGTGTAAAAAATAAAAGTTTTGTATATGGTATTAGAGACATAAATGATTTTTTTTAAGAATTATATAGAGTTTATAAAATTATCTAAAAGAAATTTTACCTTGGACTTCTTTCGTTCCAATTTGATGCCGTCATGGAATGGTATGGGAGGCAATTTGGCCACATCGCGTGCTACTACTATCGACTCACATATAGAGTGAAGTGATTCTGTAACAATTATGTATATTTATGTAACAGAGAACTGTTTCCAAATAAAAATTTTAATCCAATTACTTGCAATACAGAAAAATGGCGCGCTCTGTTTTGACGTAAAAAAAAATATATTTAATCAGTCAAGTGATGTTTGGTTAACTAAATTTTGACCTTAAGTAATCTGTATATGAAAATAATAGGTTATAATAGGGGTCGGCAACCTTTTGAGCTAGAAGAATAAAAAATTACAATTCACAAAATTTCAAAGTATTTTTAAAGAGCCACAAAAGTTTTTCTTGCCGACAATAAATATTACTTGTATAAATAAAGTTGCCGATCCCTGGCTTCATCCATCTATTATATCATTTAGGTAAATATGCATATCATAGTTCACTCAGAGTAGCTCGGTGAGTTCTAAAAAGTACAAAACTTGGTTTTGAAAGTTCAGAATTTTGATTTGACAATAGAGTCCCTAAAATATTCAATACTTATTTAATTTGGGTAAATAAAAACATAACTAGCATACCGATCATCTCGTCCTTGGTGTTGATAACGACCGCCATATTGTTGAAGAATCGCAGCGACGTAGATCGAAACATGTGGAAGTAGCCCGCTTCGCCATTATACGTGTAGTTGATGCGTATACAGAACACTGGCTCGCTACTGCTCTTTCGGCCCACACCGAATATCTGACGAAGTAGTACTTTATTTAATTAATAATGATTTCTTTTATCTATAAAGGATATATAAATGTGAGCGTAGAAACAATTCATTTTGATCCTACTAGATGTTCAAGACTTACATTTTTTTTTATACAAATTAGAATGGCAAACAAGCTGACAGCCCACCTGATGGAAAGTGGTAACCGTCGCCTATAGACATGAGCATAATAGAGTATACTGTTTCGCCCATGATACCCCCCATGCGTTGCCATTAATATAATAGCCATACAATTGCAGTAGGATAGAAACAAAAACATGAATGCATGAGGAAATTATTAAATTGTAATAAGTATGTAGTAATTAGTGGGACCCTGAAGAGAATAAAATAGTGGGTATAGACTGTGGTATTGGTGTGTTCAAACCCGACAAAGACATCATGCATAAATATCATAGAGAGGATTTGTACGAAAAGGTACTTAAGTACGTTTGTTCCATTTGTGATCCTTTAATAACGCATTTGTGTTTGCATGGTTGTGTTTTGGTTCGAAGGGTGGCATATAGCAGTGATATTATATGGTATGAAAGTATAACACCATAGTTCTTAGGAGTAGCAAAGCATGAGGGTTATCAGGGGCGTCACATTGTATGTATGTAATGTTCATGGTGCTTTCTGTTTAGGTCTGTAGAAGACGGTTACCACTTTCCATCAGGTGGGCAGTCAGCTATGGTAAACAACCATTTTAAGTATTATTTTAAACAATTGCTACATAACACGAACTCCCACTATTTTCAATTATATATGTAGTAGGAATAATGAAATCGATATATTTAAAAGTAGCAGTATGTAACATAAGAAAAACCGTCGTTAATTATTCATTCAGTGATTTTAACGACGTTTAGCCTGTCTTAACACACTTATTAATTATCTAGATCGTAATTAATTTTCGTTAATTATATGTGATAGATTTTAATTGGCTTATTGTTGTCATATATAATTAATTATTAAATTATTATAGCTGTAATCTTCCCTCAAAAGTAATAAATAAATAAATTATACAAAAAAGAGTATGTAGTACGTTCTAGGATATGCTAACAATACTGACTGTGGCATTGGTATCATAAGTGCCGAGTTCGATGGCGGTGACGTCACGCAGCGGTACACGTTGCACGCTAAGCAGCCGGTCCGACGTCTCATCGTAGTCGGTCACGTAGTATGCCTCACCGGTCAGCACCAGGACGCTGTCCATTTCTGTTTCTTGTGGATCTCCCGTACTGAGCAAATATAATATATAACCCTTAATATACTATTATTTAGGAGTCCTTTTATATGAGTCCTAACCTATGAGCAAATATCAACATATATACTTTTGTAGTTAGTATGGATATATATTTTTTGTTACATTCGTATTTTAAAACAGAAAGAAAATTTATTTCAAAACTGGAAATTCATTTAATATATAGCATGCTTAACTCCATTAACTATGCAAATTTAATAAAACATTTTTAAATGTATCACCATTTGAGTTGTTTATTATCCATAATAGAAACTATGGATTTGTGATAACTTATAGGTCATATAGAAACATGACCAGTAAGTTATCACAAACACAAAAATTACAGTAGATGAGATCTAAAACTCACTGCGGATCAGCATCGATGAGACCCCAAGAGCCCAGCACTGGTTCGGTGTCCACCAAGAGTTTCTTGCAGTCGTCGATTAAAGATTTCACGTGTTGCGCCATCGCTGCTGTATCCGGGACAGACACATCCTATGAAATGTAATAAACTGACATTATAACAGGTATATATTGCTCCGCAAAAAAGCGACTACAAGAGTATAGACAAAAATTAATAAATAACGAGATATTTCGTAGACCTACAGTACGTAGACGTTTCGTAGTTAACCCATATTGTATATATTTAAATTTAGAACTTGCAATAATATCTTTATATACAGATTGAGAGAATAAATTAAATTATAATGTATAAAAAATTGCAATTTCTACTGTTACAAAATTAATATGGGTTCAATATAAGAGTAAATCCTATAAATAGTAAAAATAACTGTGAAAATCGGTTTAGAATTGACGAGGTTACTGTGTCATATAATCGCAAAAATATACCTGATGAATAGCCTATTTTAAACGTAAAATAACTACTAGAAAAATAAACCAACTTATATATTGTAGTATACTGAACATAATTAAGGTTGTATTTATTAAACAAATAGAAGCAAACAGTCTCAAATATTTAAAATAATATCGAGTCTATATTAGCAATTAATGTTAGTTATAACAAATGTCATTAATATATTGTGGATATATTAGTACGAAATACATTATTAATTATTACATGCAAGAGTTAAAAGAAAGGGAAGGATTATAAGCGATTGACTTTCAAGATGCGTAAGCTGGGGCATGCACGCACGTTGAACATAAGAACCTTGACAGAGGTGCATCGGGTGCAATCTGGCACGATCAGGTGCTCGGGGATGGAGCGCGACTCGCCCGTCATCACGTCTATCGCCACTTGGCGGAGAGCATCTTTGAATGTCGATAGATAATATCTGCAACAAAATTATAATACATTTTTATAGGAGATTACGATATTTTTCATCAGTGAGGCGATGAGGTTTCTCATTGGTAATTTGGTAATTTTCATATTTTCTTTGATTAATTATAAACATTTATATGCAAAATGTAAAAAAAAAATATTCAAGTACATTTTCCTGCTCCCTGTGTATACTTTGAATTGTGCTATTATAAACCTAGTTAATTTTAAACTTTCGCGTAGTTTACACATATTTTAAATACATAATCTGGACTTAACACGATGTAAAAGCCGTTACAGGTAAATAGTACACGTATCTACACACCCGCTTTTTTTATTGCCGACGTTTATTTACTATTTAGCTGTAAAGACTTTTACATCGCTTTAACTTCCGACTGTGTATTTAAAATATTATAAGACTAGTCAAAGGCTCGTTAATTATCTGTTATTTATAGATTGCTCTGTGGGGTGAAGGAGTACAAATAAGTACTGTGCCACTATTTCTTTTCCTTTCCAGGATATCGTAAGAGACGATTAAGTGAGCAAAGCAGAAACACCAGTGCCACAAAAGAAAAACTCCAAAGAAAATCCTATACTAAATCGCCTGCGTGAGAGTGGTAGTAGTTTAACATTCTCCTCTCATAGGTGTATGAACGTTAGTGGGCTATGATATACCGTATTTACGTTTAGAATTTTTTTTTTACGATGAATATATTTAGAAAACCTAAATATATGAAATATAGTAGAGGGAGATATATACCAGAGGGAGACTTTGTACAGAAGTTGTTGCTTGGGCACCTCTGTCCTATTCGTGTTACTACCGTGAAGCAGTTGTGTTTGTATGGCTGTGTTTTGGTATGAAGGGTAGAATATGTCAGTAAATTTACAGGGTACAGAGGAATAACACTCACTCGTCCTCAGGAATGGTAAAGCATGGGAGGTATCATGGGCGAAACAGTATACTCTGTTATATCCATGGTACAGCTCATGTCTATAGGCGACGGTTACCACTTTCCATTAAGTGGGCCGTCAGCTTACTAATAATAATATTTAGTAAAATAAATTAAACATACCATTCAATATAATAAATCGTGTCTACAGTAACATGTTATTAAAAAGGAAGAAGTGTTATGCAAAGCGCTATTGTCTATATATACGGGCACAACATTACAAAAGTACATACTTAGCTGTTGTTATAGAGAGAAAGGTCGGAACAAACAATGAATAAGCTTAGAGCTCGAATTATTAGTGTAATTAGTTCAATTGACCAATATAAACTGACCTCCCTAATCCATATGCAATTTCTGCAGACAGTAGTTCATTGGTCAGTAGATGTCCAAAATAACTTGGCATTAACTCTAATTTCGGTCTCTCTGTATCCATGTTCTCATATAATATCATCGAAGTAGTTTTTACATCTCGCCATAAGTTGTCATGCTCCTCTATGGTCGCCATGTTGACTGGCTGTCCAAGCGCAATGTCTATGGCACATTGTGTCATGGCGTCACAAAAATGGTGGATGATGAATCTGGCGGGAAAAAATGCCTTGTATTTAGGCCCTAACAGGAGTTGCAGACTTGAAGAATTATAATTACCTGTTAGCTGACGCGACTCCGTCTTTCATCATGCCGGTGAATTTTCTTTCTCCGGTCCGTGTGTAGTCGCCCTGCGATTTATAAATATCTGTAGATTTAGTTTAAGTATCCTACATACATGTAGTATTGATTCTTATAAAACGCTATTGGATATATTAGTCATGCTATAATTAGATAAAATATTTTTTATTTGTGTATACAGACAATATAGAAAGTATCCAAAAAATTTAAGTAAAACAAATAGCGCACTTAAAAAGGCATGGATAAAGATATAGCTACAATCTAAGGATATAGCTGAGTATGCTGGTAAACTTTCTTCGAAACTATGCTATTGTTGAGGAATTTTACATAAACCAATAGTTGAAGGTTGTACCTTATAATTCCTACATTTTGACTCGTATATAGTAGGTATATTTATAGTATATACTTTTATAGGTATTATATATATATCATCTTACCCTTATCCCAATAATTTGGGGTCGGCGTAATATGATTTTGTCCATATTACAAAAATACTTGTTTTTTAGTTTTACGACCGGCCACCTGCCTGACGTCACCCTCTTTGGGAATATATATATATATACACACACACACACAAAACTGTGTATGTTTCTTATTATAATTATTTCATTCACTCATTGCTTTAATCTATTATTACAGGTTTTGGCCTAATTCAATAAATTAGCATTTTAATCATAATAGTGTAATACAAACAACAAGAATAATATACTCAAGGTTAGCATATTGTATGTATCAAGGGCTATTCATATTACAACAAATAGAGAATGTTCGAGCGCTGTACACCACTACACCATCTGCGCTGTACAACAACCAACACTGTAAACAAAGAAGCTATAGGAAAGTGGTGAAGAGTAGAGTACCTTGAGCGCCTTAGTGCCGGCGTATTGTCGTGAGACGAGGTCTCCGCTGTCGGCCCACATGGCGAGAAAGGCGCTTCGCAACGGCGGTGGCAGTCCGCAGCCGGGTGCACCCAACCCCAACCGGCATAGCTGGAGTTCCAGCACGTATTTGGCTATTGCTGTCTGTTGACACCACAACATTGCCTTAGAATATGTTCTTACATGGTTAATTACAATAATAATACATTTGTAAAAATTATATGCAGATGCCATGCATTTATTGCCTTATGTGATATGAGTAATAATAGGCAGATGTAAGTCTAAGAACAGGAAATATAGTCAAAAAATATTAATATTTTTTATTTGCACAGGTAAGCACACTTTCATACGTGTAGAATACATCTACCTATTTTACCAGAAATGTGACGTTATTTTTCATGGACAAAAATCTACATAAATTCGGATAGATGATAATCCTACTCAACTTCACATTTTATTTTAATAAAAGAAATCAATTGAGAATAATAAGAATTATATTCATAGTATTTTATTATTTTTATCAAAAAAATCTATCTGAATTTTAACTAATTAATAAATATACAATTTATATAGTATTACTGTAGCAATGCATGACGGGGGAGATAAATACAATAAATAAACAAACTGTGTATGAACTGAACTAAACGATGCTTGAACTTAGATGATATTAAAGAAAAATTTACATGAGGAGTTATAATAATAGCAACAGAAATCAAAACACTATTTTTTTATGCAACTTAGAACAGTAAACAAGCTGACGGCCCACCTAATGGAAAGTGGTAACCATCGCCTATAGATATTAGCAGTACCATGGACATAACATAGTATACTGTTTGTTTGTTTGTATGTTCGTTCCGGCATCACGATAAAACTACTGAACTACATTCTATCTACTTTTCACAGATGTGTTCCTGAGAGTATAACTTATAATCAGGTTTGTTTTATTTTAATATAGGCCGTCTAGTAGTAGTCTATTTCATTAGATTAAAATCTACGCATACGAAGTTGCAGGCAAAAGTTAGTGTAAATATAAAACATACCTGCACAACATTCGTCCTGTCGAGGCAGTCGATGCAGTTGACACGGAAAACACCGTTCTGCGCGCATATGAGGCCGCGGTCGTCGCGCCAGCAGAATCGCATATCGCCTATGATATCCGCGATCGCGTTTATAAGGATACTAACGTTCTCGTAATGCATGCCGCGGCTGGAACAACAATAATAGACTGGCTCTAAAATGAACTGACAGGGTGGATAGAAAACGACTAAGAGTGCACAGGCCTATCAGATGGATTGATCAAATACGCATTTTTTTAGATACAATATAATCGAAAGGAGTGCGGTTTGTGATATAAAAAAAATATGACAATATACGATAATAAAGAAATATTAGATACAGATGGAGGAACATCACTAGAGAAAAGGCGTTCCTACGAGGGAGTCACAACCCTCAATAATTGTGAAATACGACACGAGGAGGACGAGTAGAATAGAATATTTATTTAATTTGAGTAACAGGAGTAATTTATAAATATACTAAGTCGAATAATAGCATCTCTCGATAGTATAATCAGATGGATTCGAACCTACATCTCTCTGTTATCCGGGTCAAGTGCATTCCCATTGAAGGTAACGACCATTCGAATACGGTCGGATCGAACTATTGAGTTTAAATTTTCAATTTAGTTACTTAATATTTAAGTCTCCTAAATGCAGCATATAAAAAATATTCATTTGGGACTTATTTTGTTGGTTGCTATATGCTATATTTTTACTTCAAACTATGTCAGTGTAACTACATATTATACATATGATACATACATATTATACATATATGTGTATATTAAAGTTAAGAGTTTCGTTGTTGAAGTCGAAATTAATTTAATCCGTAAAATCTCAATGTGGTAAAACTAACGCCATTTAGGAACTTGATGTTGGAATAAATGTCATATTTTACTAACGTCTATAGGTTTTAGTGGTCTATTTATAGTAGTAAAATATATAAGCGTATGTATGGTTGAGCTAATATCTATATTTTACTCAGAAAATATCGTTAAAATCTTTTCAACAATTTTCTCATAATATTAGAACAAATAGGTATTAATACAAAATGAATTACTTTGTATTACTCGTATTCGGCTTGAATATAAATGATCACGTACGGTGAGGTTTTCAAGGAGTTTCCTCCTGCAAATGCTCAGGTTGTGGAAGGAGTTCCCTGTCAAGATTTCCCCTATAGACTACAGTATGAGGTTCATCAAAAAGGGTATATTACGGTTTCTTTAGGGCCAGCAACGCGCCCGTGACTCTCCTAGTGTTACAGGCATCCATAGGCTACAGTGACTGTTTACCATCAGACCGGCTGATTGCTTGCCGTCTTCGTGATAAAAAAAAAATTACTGATACTCAGTAAAAACTCACCAATATTCGTGAAAGTCGAATGTGGCGTATATAACGTCGGGACTATTCAACTTGAGCACGTGGTTCCCGTACGCCTCCCATATGATGCGCTCTCGACCTTGTTGTTCCACTAAATTCACTATGCACACTTGTTTATATGTTTTTAGTTCTTCTTCAAAGTGTTTCTTGAATGCGATGTGTGATTCTTCTTCACCTGATAATGAAAAATATTGTTTATTAATTACAAGTGGAAGGTATAATGAGATACAGATAGTTGAACGATAAAGATAATTTTTTCCCCTGGATACGTCCATGGTCGTTATTTTGTTTCTAATACTGTTGTTACTGACAATTCCCACTAGGACCTAGCCTAGTGGGAATTGTCAGTAACGGGAACTAGCGCCCATATACTGCTATATATATATATATATATATATATATATATATATATATATATATATATATATATATATATATATATATATATATATATAATCAGGTCGCTTTCATGCGATTCTAATAAAAAAACCATTATGATTAATTCATAATGAATATATATACATCACGATGAGCTAACTGACTTGCTTTTTGCTTTGCAGGTAAGGATATCACCTGTCATTTATTTATTTTAATTTTATTAATCAATAAAATATGCTATAAAAGTAGGATTTCAATTTAATTATCATTTATTAAAAAAATACTATAAATCTTAGATTATTAGATTAGTTAAAATGCAAGGATAATTCTTAAAAAAAGATTACTTCTGTCAAGACGAGGAGGCGGTCTAAATTTATAATCTGGCTGGCTCCAGAATATGGGGACCGATCCACGAACCTGAAAGAAAATAAAAATCTTTAAAGGGTTTAAAAACTAAAAAGACAATAAAACCTTGAACTTCATTTACGCAAAGTAACAATCCTATTACTGCGTCACAAAGGTCATCGAATATATGAGGTATGTGAAGGACTTTTCGTCGGAAATTTAGCAATTTGTTAATTGTAGGTCGGTGTAACTATAAGAGTAGAGTCACCGTTATACGACTCGTCAGCGCGTGACGTTACTCAACATTGTGTTTTATAATATAACAGATTATGTCTTTTTTGGACTTTCACTTGATATACATCATATGTGGTAATATTGCATAAAGGGCCATGAATATTCTTGTCTGAACTATATCGCAAAGTAATATTCTCCAAATGCTATGGTGAAAAGTAGAAAATGTAAAGGATATATGATGTATAGATTTATGTGTTGCGATACATTAATTTTTAAATGCTCGCTTGCAGCTCGTAGGCACATCATACTGCAGTCTTACGATAAAAGTATATATCGGCAATTTACTAAGACAACAGTAAAGCTCACCTGTTAATAAGAGCATTTACCTATTTAACTCACATCTATTATTTGTTTTATAATATCGTTATCAACAGAAACTTGTTGTTACCTGAACAAAAGAAGCTCTATGTACACTGTCAGAGCATATTATGGAGACAATTTGTTCTGTTTCAACATAGTTAGCTACTTTGCCCTCTGGCTCGATGCCACGACGATTATACCTAAAAACAGTTGTATTATCAATAACAATAAATATATATTATTTGTTTAAATATTGGAGATACTAGTCTGCTACTGACAACTTAAAAGAAGTCCAATATCAGTGTTATTGTTTAAAGTGCAGTATATGGTAGGGCTCTGTAAAGAAATATGGAGGAGGTCTATGTTCAAGTACGACCTGAGAAATAGGATGTTGCCGATGTCAAGATTTATTAATGATACCTATGTATAATCTAAAAAGAATGTGTAATTCAGGAATAAAGGCTATATTTATTTTAATACATTATGGGGCCTTTTTGTTAAAATAAACATCTTTATTTAATTACCTAGTGCCAGCTTGATATCGAGATCGCCTGGATATCAGTCCTAATGTGAAGGTCTCATCACACGAATTGCTATTAGATAGAGACTCAGTATTCAGTGGATTGACATCTGCTGGCTCAACGGCTATTTGAGAAAGATGGACATAGCCTTGTATTATGGGGAGCACCCACTCATCACATTCTGGACTCTGAAATATGCTTTTTATAAAATACAAGCTTTTTATATTAGTGTATAGTTTATTATAATGATAATATTATAACATATTAGGGCACAATATACTAATATCTAATAAAATGTTATGACAATGACGATGAATAATGTTATGACAATATGATAGGTATAAATACTATATTGACGATAAGAAAAAAAAAATTATACTACTAACTGACAACTATTAAATATAAGAATATTTAAAAGTTTCAACCTCAAAAGTGCCCAAGTTTTTCCAAGAAATTACCATACATTGTGATATAATGACAGTGAAATTACTGGCAATTTTGAATAAAAATTTTCATGTCACAAATATAAACTTTTATGTTGACAAGATGTAATTATTGCAATAATTATTAATTGATGTTTACACCAACTTTTGTAAAAGTTCAATAAGAGGTTAATTTTTGTAAATATATGTTAACATATTAAAGCAATCAGAAACTGGTGAATATGTAAAAAAGGATGTGATGAGGACAAATAAAATTGTTAATAAATCCTTACAGCCCATAATTATTTACTGCTGAATATAAGTTTCTCATATAGCATTACATAATTATTTATGTATTAAATAAATTTTTATTCCTATGTTAAACTTACACCCAAACTGATGATATCTTTTAGCATATATTTATTCCAGAAAAATCTATCATCAACATGCTTCCACCATCTTGTGATATCCATAACAGGTTTACTGTTTTCTTCTGATTCCAACATCTTTTCTATTTCATATTGCCGTTGCAGACTGTTTGTTATGTCGAGAGTGCGAGAATAATAGAAACTATCAGAGTCATCGAATATTTTATGGAGTTCATCAGACAATCTCTTCTCAAAGCGCTCAGCTAGTTTCGGATCACGTTGTTTCTTGACAGTTTGTTTCACCTGTTTCAAATTCAATCCTATTGTTAATTTAGTATCTTTAAATCAAATCTAATTATTTATTTGCAAGAAATATGGGTTATTATAATGTTACAATATAGAAATAATAAAAGTACATGTCACATTCCACTCATAGGGTGTGTAAAATTTAAAAGACAATATATTCATGTTTTTACTAATATCAGTTTAATCATTATTATATATAAAAAAATTTCCTCATACATTACTGCAAGTGAAATTTATTAATTATATGGATTATATACAATTTTATAAAATAACACAATATAATAAAAAAAAAAAAAACAGAAATAAAAAAAAGTGTTTCTTATAAAAAATATCTATAGTTAATAAGTCAGAAATTGCTAAATACTATAATAGGTTTTGTCAATGTGTAGTGCCTCTATAATAGAGTGTATTAATTTATTATAAATTTTTGGGGCCATACCTAATATGCTTTTAAGAGAGCAGTTCTTGAGGGCAGATTTCAAAGTTTGTCTTTACATCTAGTACTATTATATTTATGAAACATGTTTATATTATTTCTGACAAATACAGAAATTTGATATACTTACAAACAAGGTAGTGTTAAAATTAATAATGATTTAAAATAAGGTTAACAGTTATCTCTCAAATTTAGTTTACTTATGGCTCTCATACATTTCTTCTATACTTTGAAAAAAGACTTTTAAAATTGGTAATCAAAAGTATATCTGATATTTATTTATTCTTTACTGACTACATTACAAAAAAATGTTTGGTATAAAAGATGGATTTACTACAATTTTTAAGATTTCTTTAAACTTAATTTAAAAAAGTAAATATATACCTAAATATCTTCTATTTATTTAAAACTTCATACAAACTTAATACTTATTCAATTTTATTATATTTCCCTAATTTATCACTCTAAATGACATAATTAAAAGCATACACAATATTACTACAAAATAAAGGCAGTAATGATAAAGGAAATGAAGTTATTACCTGTGTAGCAGCTTGTTGTGTTGTGGTTTTGATTGTGTTACTAACATTTTTGACAGCACCAACAGTTTTATTCAAAAATGCTGAGTTCTCAAAAAGACGAGCACCCATTTTCTTGTTGAGAGACTTTCCAGAACTACCGAGAGAACTTGATGATCCATGTTTAGTACATGGACACAGGTCAACTTCATGGTTCAGAAGCCCCATGTTTAAAAAACATATTGACTTGATTTTATATACTGTATGATGAAAATATAATTGACCTACTGGTACACTCTCTTTTATAATCATAAGTCTAGGCTCAAATATATTGGAGTGTTCTACTTTTCCTATTATTCCCTCTGTTATACCTAAACATTCTATGTCTTCTATATCTGACAGGTCCCAAGCTATAAAAATAAGAAAACATTAAATCAATCAGCAAAGATATGATTACACTGTGAAATCTTATTCATAAAATATTTATAGTGTTTTGAAATTAAAAAAGTAAGTGGCTAAGAATTAACTAATTAAAGGTTTAAATCAATATTATTAACAGAAAAAGTGGAAATTTTAATATTTACCTGATCTTACTGAAAAAGCTCCGGTTTGTCGATTCCACCAAAGACTTGACTCATTTCTAACAAATATGTAAAATTGTTCCGATCTAAACAATTCCATTTTGCTGCAATTTATTTCACGTCCACACAGTTTTTAACCAGTTTCATAGTGTTTATTATTGTTGTAATTTTTCTAATCTTTCAAGCAGTTGACGTTACGAAAGGGGCAGGGAAGGGGGCAGGCGCAAAGCAGTCTATTTCGTTATGTTGGTAGCGACAAGACTGTGTAGGTGGATGTCACAGTTGTTATAAAGCATCTCTTTTTGTCAGCTGATAGAAATCGCGATAATTTTGAAATTAATTTTATTTCACAATTTTATAAAATTTTAAATAAATATTGTTTAAAATATTATATTAATAAAAATTTTGGATATAAATTGATACTTTATTTAGGACCACAATATGACCTTAAATTCTGTATGTAATGAAACGTAACTGACGCGAGGTGTTTGTTGTCATGTTGGCATTCCGTCATTATGGCTGTTTCCGGTTCATTGAATTGCCCTGTATTAATTCAGTTTTTATAGATTCGTGTTCATAGGTATATCAAAATGGACTGGCAATTAACTTGTAGAGTTTGTCTGGAAACTGGTGACATGGTTTCTCTTTTTGATTGGGATGAAAATAATGAGCAACTTGGTGACAAATATACTTACTGCTGCGGTATTGAGGTATGGAAAAATTACCACCAAAATGGTTGCGATGGCCACCCTATAATATTTCCCTACATTAATGTTGCTATATCGTTTTATTTGCAATGGTTTTCTGATTTTTTACTGACATCCCTGATTATCTAAGTTTTAAAAGTGTCGATTATTTCATTTTCTATATACAATTGTATAAATTTCAGGTTAAAAAAAATGATTCCTTACCGACACTTATTTGCTTAAATTGTGTAGATCGGCTTACATATGCGTATCAGTTTAAACAGCAATGTCTTTCTTCAAACGATACATTAAAAGAATGCCTGGAGGAGTTTGTGAAGAGTTCCGAAGCAGTTTCTGCAGCCAATACTTCCAAAGGTAAAAAATGACGAAATTAATTTTAATTTGAACAAAAATTAATTTACTACTTAATGGTGGCAAGCAAGTGTGCCTGATGTTATGTGATTATTATTAATAATAATAGTTTTATTTCACTCTTTTGTCCATTATTTTTAGTAACAATGTACTTATAGCTAATGTTAGTAAATTTATACACATGTGTACAGTATTACATAGTTAAACATATAAATCACTGGTGCACTGTTCCATTGGAGATTGTGCAGAAGTAATTAACATACACATGGTCCAGCTTGCTCACTGTCTTAAGATGCTGTTGGGGCTGGCTCATGCTCTGCACACCAAGAAAAATATTAACCTATTTTACATAGTCTTTGCTATCCTAAACTATCTACTCCTAGTTTTCATATTTTAGTAAATTTTATCACTGCTGGTTTATGGTGCTACAGATCTATTTTATATATTTTTACTTCTAGTCACAGAGACGGAGACAATCACTATAAAGCAAGAGAATGGATTGCTCCTCCAATATGAGCTTCCAGTGGAGCATGATCCTCAAGTGCAATGGACAAGAACTCTTACTAAAACTCCTAGTAGCGCAGTGGTGACAAAGGCTCCTGGACCAAAGAAGAGAGGTCGTCCACGGAAATATCCTAATGAGCAGGGACAGATTGGTATGTTATTTTTGTCAAAACATATATAGACTTAAATGCTAATGGTGATAATATGACATTATTTTAAACTCATGGCAATAATAAAGTACTTTGCCCATTATTTTTAGCTTAATTCCATTTCGAAATGATAAAATAAAAACTAATGTCATAATTATGTTTCTAATTAATCATAACAAATTTTTCTGGTAGGAGAAACTGAGTATATTCTTTAATGTCAGAAATTTTTTTGCAGATGTATCCCCATATCAGCGTAAAAAGCCCATACCAACTCAAAAGGAGCCTGCCGCTCTTACAACACTGCTGGCATCCGGCTCCCTAGATATGAAGGAGGAGCCTCTTGATGAGGATGAGCCTTTTGAAACTGGTGGTAAAGTATATTCTAATGTATTATAATTATTGTATTAATTTTTGTTTGAAATAGTATTCATAAATAAGTTTTCATTTTTAATTAAATTTACTTATGATGCATATTAAAACATTGTAGGTTTCGATGGAGATGATGATGATCCAGAATTCAATCCTGCAGACGCTGCTGAATCAGAAACAGAAATTCCGATAGAGGTAATAACCAATTTATGATTATTTTTCCATAAATTTGATAGCTTACCCATAGTTCAAGTAGACATATTTTGATTACTTACACTTGGAGAATATACACAAGTGACCCCAGTTATCAGGTAATTGAATATAAATCGTCAGATATTACATATAGTTTAGAAAACATGTTCCCTTTATTTTACAAAGTAGTGCTGACAACTAAAACTTATTACTAAGGCTTTAAAATTGTTCTATACAAATCAAATGCCATGATTTTCTAAGGATTGTATTAGGCACAAGCAATTATTCCAAATACCACCATTCCTATAGCAAGTAAACAACATTTTTTTTACTTAATGGGACAAAGCTAAATAAATCAGTGTAGGAGAAGATAGAATAATACTCTACTAAGCAATCTGGCCAGCATGGCAATATTTTTTTTTTATGGGTGATAATGGAATGGTAACACCACCAACCCTATCGGTATACGCCGGCGGGGCACCAGTGAAGGATGATAGGTGAGGATGAAACATGTCAGTTAGCCCATCGTGATGAATTCAACAAGAGTTGTTCACGATGGTTTCCAAGGGAGGAGGTTTCACGTGGAGGTCGACCTAAGCATTTTAATATTAGACTACATCTTACAGGGGGAGATCCAAGCCATAATGTCAACAACTTACTAATGCCCATTAATAGGTTGTTGACATTAAGGGAAACCTTTTTTTATGTATATTAAAAAGATATTGAAATGACTAAATATTTTCTATTCAGAATCAGCCGCGTAAGAAGCGTGGTCGGCCGCGTAAACATCCTATAGAGAAATCTAAGCTGAAAGAAGAGGACGGAGAGGATGTATTGCTAAAGGAAACCATAATGGCTTTCTCAGAACCAATACCGGAACATATTCTCAATCCAAAACCTAAGAAGAAATATAATACTAGTAATACAAAGAAAAAGTATCATTATGAAAAGACGTAAGTTGTAATTTAATGATGTGTATTTCACTGAATAGTATAAAACTAAGTCAGTATCTGTCTCTGTGTGTTTGTTCATCTGAACTATGCTACGGATTTTGGTATGGTTTTCACGACTTTTATACATTTATAATAATTGGTGTATTTAAGGTTATTTTCCAGTGGAGCCTGGCTCCTTAAAAATTTACTTTTAGATGTTGCTTTGCTCATAGCTAAAAGCTCTGTTTTTGATTTCTGGGATGGGCACGGCCCACCCGGCTCCCACCTTGAATAAGCCTATATTTGTAATATATTCTAATAAAATTTATACAAAGTTTATTAGTTTTTATGATCTACTATTTACACCCTTATTTTTTTAATGATGGTCCTTTAAATACTATGGGAAACTAAAAATGTAGTAGAGATCCTTTGTGCTACAGTGGTTTTTTATAATAAAGTATTATTTTATACTTACAGGCACACATGTGAAACATGTGGTTCTTCATTCACATCAAATGCGTCATTGCAAGCGCATATACGTCGGCATTTGGGCATTAAACCATTTGTGTGCAGGTAGGTAACTTATTTATAATTTTTCTTTCCTCCATAATGTGTTTTAAAACAATAATGCATAGATTACGGTCTTTGGATTTGAAAAGTAAGATATCAAATAGAATTTCTGATAATATTAGTATTATTAGTGAAATATTTGATGTTTTTTGTGTTGTTTCTGTCTTCAGGCGATGTTTACCAATATTCATCAGGTGAATAGTTTGTTTATTAATAATCCAAATTATATAAAACCTAATAATTATGTTAGGCCTAAAAACTAGGTTAATCTAATTATAAGGTATTATAAGTTGGAAATGTTAATAAAAATACTAATTCATTAATTATTATCCTTATTTAGCTGTAGAGCAAAGACCAAAGATTTGTCTTAATATTGAAGTAATTAAATAAACTATTTAGGTTCCGTATATTTAACATATGGGTGCAGGTGAGATTGCATAATTGTATATGATACTATGTAAATATTATTAATTTATTTTATAAGTTGTTAATCAAATTATCGCGGTAACCACCTGCGCCCATTATAGACGACCGTTCCCGCACACGCTGTTTTTCATAACATGTAATGTAAAATAATGTATATTTAATTGTAAATTAAGAGGTCTTCTACAATACATGCTGTAAACAATACTAGTCCTATTTAACTGTCTACAAGATTTTTATATAATCTTGTCTTATGAAAAATTATATTTGCGAGAAGAATCTCTTAATAACACAATATTTAGATGAAAAAATTTCACACGAAAAATTTATTGTTACATCGGACGATTATTACAATATGATGCTCTTTCTCTACCAATAGGAAGTGTCGCGTGCCAGTTAGAAATTGTAGTTTAATGAAATGGGCACGCAGCTCGAGATTTTTTGAAAAGTTTTTAAATCTAATTGTTTTAATAGTGACCTACCTTCTATGTTTACCTACTGAAGTAAACTTATTCACATTTACTAACCTACTACTGAAACTTTCAGTATTTATACTGTGAGTTTCAGAGTTTAGAATTTGGAAGAAACGCATGTTATTGTGGTAGATTTATTTCCATCTTTTTCTGTGATTGAAGTTTTAGTACAGTACAAAGCAATTTAATGATTAAATATATTAGCACAAGATCCCACCTTTGAACTCGGCATCTATAAAACTTTTTAATAAAATTTAGTTTAATATTTAAATGAAAGATGAGCGAAAATATACTACAATGCATTAATTGCTATCAGTTAACCGCAACCTAGAGTTGCCAGGTGCCAACCCTTACTTGCGTCCATTTTTTTTATAGGCAACTCTATAATTGTCGTATAGAAAAAAAAACATCCGTTTAGCATAGGTTTTATCGAAAATAACCTATTCCCCATAACTACAGCACTAATTGAATTTACTGGGTACAGAGGAATAACACCTGAGTCCTCAGGAATGGCAACGCATGGGGGGTATCATGGGCGAAACAGTATATTCTGTTATGTCCATGGTACTGCTCATGTCTATAGGCGACAGTTACCACTTTCCATTAGGTGGACCGTCAGCTTGTTTGCCATTCTAAGTTGTATCAAAAAAAAATCTAGAACAAAACTTTTGATGCTAGCAATCCTATGAAAAAACGCCGCAAGTAAGCGATAAATAAGTATGTTAATAATTGTAAATATGTATCTTGTATAGATGATAATAAGACTTAACAAAACGCATGATGCGTTAACTAAATTTACCAAACTTTTTGCTTATTTTCATCTAACAATTCTAGGTTGCGACTAACAGAGCAAGCAACCTAGATACATTATATTTTCGCTGAACTTTCATTTAAACCAAGTTTCATTAAAAAGGATTTAAGCATGCAGTATTCAGCGGCGGGATTTTAAACTATATGTAAAATAGTTTATTTCCAAACATTTGTATACGATTAATTACCTGCTAAGCGTGTCAACTACTGGCAAAACCCCCTTATGGGGAAGGCCTATGTTCAGTAGTGGACACTTAGAAGCTGATATGATGATACCATGAAAATGTATAAAAAGTTGGCTACTATCAGACACCTATCAATAGCAATGGCAGAACAATTTGGTTTTAGTTTTTACTAGCCGGCCTCCCGGTTCTAAATTTAAGGTCGGTCACATCATCTTATAATTAACAATTGTGTCCAGCGTTTGCGGGTACGCGTGCGTTCTGAACATGGAGTTGCGGCGGCATATGATGCGACACACCGGCCAGCGGCCGTACAAGTGCCGCGTCTGCGACCGCCGCTTCGGGGACTTTGGCAGCCGCCAGAAACACGAGAGGCGAGTTCCATTCAATACGGGACGGATCGCTCGTGTGCTATTAGAGGGATCTTACATGAAAATTCTAATTTGCAACATTTTTTTTTTCGCGAAATAATTTGTATAATGTGTTGTCTGTAAAATAAGGATACATTTAATAAAATGAAATTATATGTGATGTTATTACCAAACATGTTGGTATTATATCTCATAATATTCAGTATAATCTCTATCATACAAATTAATGTATAATGAATTAATTCATTACACTAGATTACAACTTATGACAGCGTCATGTTTTTCAACTCCTTTATACTACGCAATTTTTGCTTATTTACGAAGGAAACAAGTTTTTCTTTGCAAATTAATAGAATTGATAAACTATTAAGTAATTTTATTTACAGATAATACTCTTACAAATTGGAAAAGTATCGATTGTTTTCAGTAGTTCTGTAATTAACAAAATGTGATTGTAAGATCTCTCGCATATTGAGTGATTTGGACCGATTACTACTATACTATTTAAAACAGCGTTTGCACTTTCGCAACGACGAGTCGGCTCGGCCTCCAGCGGCATATGCTGAGGCACACAGGGCAGAAGCCCCTGAAATGCCAATTCTGTGAGAGGCGGTTCGTTGAACATGGAGATCGGCAGAAACATGAAAGGTAAACTAAAAGTACTTGGAGTTGTTCATTATCGAAGGTTAACGTACAGGTAAATCATTAGCACTCTTTTGTACTAGTGAAACTAAAGATTTTACTAAAAGAAATATTTATGCAAAAACAACAATAGAGTGTCTTTTTGAGGAAAATACTGTTCTATCTTTGAAGTTTGAGTAAATAATACATTATTTATAAAATTTCATTAAAATGGGTTAAGTAGTTTCGAAAATTCATGATTGGTAACACGTATTTTTTATATATTACGATATGAAAATTTGTATAAATTTATATTGAATAATAGAACACACTCGATCCTGTTTAAATGGTGGAAAAATTTAAATAAAATTTGGCACGCAGATGAATTGTTTATTTTGTGATTTATACATAAACACCTAAGACGCTTATTTATCTTGATTTATGTAGGAAAAACTATAAAATATAGCTAGTAAATAATAAAAATGTGTGTCTTCAGGTTACACATGGGTCTGCGGCCGTACCAGTGCAGCGTGTGTGGCAAGTCCTTCACGTATTCGTATGTACTCGCGAACCACATGCTCACGCACACAGGCGAAAAGAAATACTCGTAAGTATTATAAAGGGTGAATTGAAGAGAGAGAGAGAAATAAAGATTGTATATCTCTAACAGAAAGAGAAAATTAAGTAGAGGATACTTCATTGTACTATATATGTTTGGAGAAAAGTAATAGTATTTACAAACAATTAGTATAAATGCAATTTGATGGTCTTGTTGCTAAAAGTTGCGGATTTAGAGGGAAATTTAAATTGACATAAATTGACTGATTACTTTAAACTCGGGATCAAAACACTATTAACAAAAATAGGTATTAAAAATAAATAGGAAAATAAAACAAGTTATTTTAAAATTTTCACATTCTTTACACTTAGTCCTTTTAGTCCTAATCGTGAATTTAAAAAAAACGAACAAATATTCTCGAATTCATTAAAAAAAAATTCAAGTCTAATAAAAAAATATTCAACAGTTGCGGTCCATGCAATAAGAAGTTCACAAAGGCACATCACCTTAAATATCATAACAAGGTCCACCACAAAGAACTGTACATGCAGCAACAGCTGGAGGCTGAGGCTAAGAAGATGCGGCAGCAGATAAACGTCACCGGCCTCTCTGGAGTCCTACAGGGACAGATTGTTGATGGCACGCTGCAGCTTATACAAGCTGCACCTGAAGGTGTGTTTGCAATCTTTATTCTTTTAATTTATTAAGCTTAAATTCCGTTGTGTTTCGGTTTGAAGGGTGGGATATAGCATAAATTTACTGGGTACAGAGGAATGACACCTGCATCCTCAGGAATGGCAACGCATAGGGGGTATCATGGGCGAAACAGTATACTCTGTTATGTCCATGGTACTGCTCAAGTCTATAGGCAACGGTTACCACTTTCCATCAGGTGGGCCGTCAGCTTGTTTGCCATTCTAAGTTGAATAAAAAAAAAACTATAACATTAAGCTATCATAGAAAGAAATTTTACTGCCATGTCGCATATGCTGATACTAATCACTTTTATTTATTGTAACATTATTTTTAGAAGGGGACCAGGAGGCACAGATGCAAGTGGTTGAGGATCAAGATCAAATTGAAGACTCTGAGGAGAAGGAAACGGATCGAGCAGTTGCTAGCATGCAAGCGGTATGTAGACTGTCAAGGATTTTTTTTTTAATATGGTTCAGAGTTCTTAACATTTTGCATTACATAAAAGAAATTCAGAAGAAATTACATTCCTAAATTAATTGTATGAATTAAGGATTTCCTTCACAGTAAATTATGTTAAAGTAAATGCTGTAAATACCTTTAAAAGGCATGCTCATTATTGTATTATATTTAATATTTATTATATATGTCATAATGCTATATGCTGTTATATATGTTTAAATAAATAAAGAATGCAACTGCATTATCTGAAATTATAGGGTATATAGAAATTATTTTAGTGCTCAAAATAGAAAATAAATCAAGTGTATAGGCCACTGGTACTACTTTCCATTAGGTGGATCGTCAGTTTGTTTGCTATTTGACATAATATGGAAAGTTTTTTTTTATAATAGCATGACATGTGACCATGTCATTCATGGGCGAAACAGTATACTCTGTTATGTCCATGGTATTGCTCATGTCTATAGACGACGGTTACCACTTTCCATCAGGTGGGCCGGCAGCTCGTTTGCCAAAAAAAAAAAAAGGCAACACATGGTTGATATGATTCAGTTCAAATAAAATTAGAAAATTGTTTGAAATAATCTTTATCTAATTAAGTATTATAATTTCTTTTGTTATAGGTGGTATTAGATGCAGAATTTAGTGTTGAAGAGGAAGATGATTCTAAAATAGAGTAGATAGATAAATTGAGAGTGCCGTTTGACAGGATCTTGTTTTTAACTCGGCCTGTTGATGTACTGAATGATATGTATAAAGTATATATCAATAGTATTATTATGATTAATTAATAAGTTATAGCAAAAAAGCACAAATTACAAAAGTTTTATCATTATGTTTACTTATTATCAGATAATGTGCGTAATGAATCATTTAAATATGTAGTTTCAATCGACATATGCCTTTTGTCTACTTCACCTAAGATTCCAGTATGTCTATTTAATGTTTTCATAATTTGTTGTTAATTGTTATGCTATACTTTCCCCATCGATATTTTTAGTTTTCTAAGTTTACTTATGAAAAATTAGAGGATACGACTTAATATTTGAATTTGTAAGCATAATAATGTAGGTTTCAAAAAGGGCGTAATAAGGTTTCTTAAGGGTCAGCAACACGCATGCGATAACTCTTGTGTTACAGGTGTCCATAGGCTACGCTAAACCCGGTTACTATCAGACGGGCCGCATGCTTGTTTGCCACTATGGTAATATAAAAAAAAAAGTCAATCAAGAAAATAAGCAATTCTATAAAGACCAATCGCAAGTAAATGAACTATAGTTATTGTTTCATTGGTCGCTCAATTATTTGTTGGTCACTATTGTACATTAATAGATCTGTGAACAAATGACATGTCCATGTGAAGACAAAGGGAAGAAAAAACTTATGAAAAACAATATGCCCGCCCTGTTATGACGGACAAGAATGTATGCTGAGGGTTGTTCGTCGTCTGCGCAGGTTTTTATAGCTAATTTGTCATTACGGATACTGTAGTTTAGACTAATCGCGAATCGACTTAACACAGCAAATATTTACAGCGTTTTCCCTGCAAACAATAGTAGAAACTATTGAATAATTTCTAAAGTTCTTTTTTGCGTAATGCTTATTAGGTTTTTACTATATGAAGGTAGACTAATGAAATTGTTTATAATGGGCCCATCTGACCTGTCAATTGTAAAACTTTTGTTATTTGCGCAAACATACTGAAAAATGTGTTTACACGGAAAAAGTGAGACATTGTGATATTATTTGTTTACTTTTACTGTGTAAATGTTTAATGAATTATAAACCGTTAAATGTAATTGTAATCCAAATAAAATATAAATCATGGAGGCAAAATGTGTTTTATTTGATTTTGGAGTTAACATCTGAGCACTTGTGATGCAAATAGTTTAAAATATTACGAATAAGTAACACAAATAATTGGAATCATTAAATAACAATATTTCGATAATTCTTTTTTGTTTAAATTTGTAAAAAGTTTATATGGCTGTAATTTTCGATTGGCTATATTTAATCTATTGGCTTAGATTATATAGATAGTCTCCATAGAAATGCTTCGAAAAAAAAACGAGTCAACTTTTTCATACAATTTTGCGTGATAAATAGTTATCAGTGATTCCTTTATAAGTTCTATATTTATTATGTCATATAAATTCTACCATAAATACTCATTTATTAAATAATACTTCAAGACACATTTTATGCGTAAATATATAAAATACGAGTCAGCTAATTTGGGAATTAGCTGACAAAAAGTTGACCCGTTTTTGAGGCTCTATTTATATAATCTATGCTTTATTTATATAATCTAAGCCTATTGGATATATAATTTGAGAATATCAATTACCTTACATTACAATTAGGATCGTGTTTAGGTATTTTTATTGTCAAGTATTTGGGAATTGTACATATCTACATTGTGTCTAGTAAATATTTATACATAACAAAACAGCAGTACGAGTAAAATACTCCCTCGTGAGTTTGCCCCCATCAGTTTTTAAATTCGCTAAGCGTCTCACATATACAACATGTTTATATTATGAACGTACCGACACTTTATTTGCTACAAACGAAATTGTTGCCAAGCCGTTTTCAACTTTAAATCCTCGCGTAAAAAGTGGTGCGATCATTTCATGAGTTTTGATGTTAAGCGACCGTCCATCTGAAGGATATTAAAAGTTGTGCCACCCTTCTAAGTAAGAGCTCTTTTTTCTTTTTGTCCTTAATGTAAAAAGAAAACGCGAAAAGTTTTGGGACGCGGCGAGTTTAAATTTTTCCACCCTTAATGCGCTTATTACGAGTGGGAAAAAATCTGAGGATCTCAAACTATTGTGTTTTTATATAATTGGTAAAATAGTAAATATAACTAGTGAACCAGTAGCATTATTCACGTATTACACAATTTTGGTACTTACACATATGTGGCAAGAAACGTAACATAAAAACACTGACAACAACATTTAGTACCTATATAGTAATTCATGTAAGAACGCGGACTTAGGTATTATTATTATTAGTACTTAGCGCAATAGTATTAGTATATCTACTGTATTGCTATGTTGTTTATGTTAATGAATAAGATTTGTCTATGCGATGGACATATTGTTCGCGGCCTACAAAATGTTCCTTTATGTAAGCCGTGTACTTCCACAGACACGAGTGCGTTGTAACATTCAATGTGTTCTATAAATCCATGAAGATGTTAGTATGGTGTCCTGAAGTGTTACAGTTCACGAGTTGCTCACAGGATCTCAATATTAGAACCGCAGGGGGGGGGGGGACAAATCGTAATATTCTTATACTTGAAATGTGAACTAACCATTGTGGACTGTGGTCCACAATGGTTAGTCCACATTGCTATCAATGTACCCTACATTCAGGTCCACGCGGATTCCCCTAGAAACCGTCGTGATAAATTTATCGTTGAATTCGTTGCGATGGGTTAACTGACCTTCTTTTTCATCTTCACTTATCATACTGGTGCTCCGCCAGTGTATACCGATAGCGGGTTATTATTTCATTAATACCCATTTAAAAAAATATTAGAACCTCGTTAATAAGAATCACAACTAACTTTGTAATCTATTATACTGTGGTCGTTCACTACATTAGACATTCATCTGAATGTTTATCGAGACATTGCTTGCACTCCAGTAGTTGTCTACAATTTTATTGTTACACCACAACCTATAGTTTGCGGTATGCACTTACATACCGTCAGACCAGCTATACAAGTAAAATATTAAAATAAAAAGCTAGAATTTAGGAAGTACAGGGTTTTTAAAATACTTATATTATTTATGAACATCAACTTTGGGATGCACTGTTTAGCGGCAGAAAAGTGTCTATGTAGAGTGAGCGGAGGGCCCCAGTGGGCGTTATTTCCATTTTTATTTTATTTACATCTAGTGAAACATTCGAAAAAATTCCGTTTAAAAATAAACAGAAATCCAGTAGGTAAGTACGTGAGAGGGAGAAATGCCATCTTCTAGGATTTATCTACGTTAATGCGCATTGGTTTTATTTGTTTTTGCACCGAGTTAGGTAAGTAATTTGATTTTTCTAGTAGAAAACACTGCAACTTACACTCGTTATAGGTTCGTTCTCCGTTCCTGCAGAAATTTGCAAGATATGTGCCAAGATTAGATACGGGTTAACTCTGTGGTTGATTTCTTAGGTTTTATGGTTCTGGAGATATGTGTTTTTTTTTAATGGGTGATAATGGAATGGTAACCCCACCCGCGCTATTGGTATACATCGGCGGGGCATCAGTGAAGAGTGATAGATGAGGATGAAGCAGGTCAGTTAGCCCATCGTGACGAATTCAACAAGAAATGTTCACGATGGTTTCCAGGGGGAACCACGTGGAGATCGACCTGATAGGCATATTGCTAGCAATGTCGAACTCCATTGCTAACAATCCCTTGCCCCCGGAGATATCATGTTTTATGCATTAACTTTTATAAGTAGATTATAACTGATCTTAACGTTGTTTTGCTCTTTACTGTACTATACGGTGCAATTTTTCTTATCGGAACCAATACTAATCTCTTTCAAATTGGACTACACATATTGGAATAAACATTTTCAAAATTTTATTAAAATCGGTTTAGCAGTTTCGGAGATTAACGACCTAAACGAACAACATGCGGGAAGGGATTGTTAATAATGGGGTCTAACAGCACTGTTGTTTAATATATTTTATTAGGTCGACTTCCACGTTATCCCCCTGGAAAGTATCGTGGTTAATTCTTGTCTAATTCTTCACGACGGAGGGGCTAACTGGCCTGCATTCACTTCAATCTGTCATTAGTGCTCTGCCAGTGTATACCGATAGCGCAGGCAGGGTTACCATTCCATTTTCACTCATTGAAAAAACGAACATGACACGAGATTTTTATATACGACCACCTAATGCAGATATATTTCCAAATGTTGATCTGATGGTTATAGCACCAGCTCAAAATGACCTGAACAATGAGGTTGCCACTTCCGTTTAATGTCGACCTCCATGCAGTTACTCTACAACTAGATATAGATTACAACTAGATAAATAGATTGGCTTGCTCTCAACCTTATCCTTTTGTTTTTCTGCTACGTAGAATATAAATATACTCATCAAAATGTACTTAAGAGTATAACAAGTGTTGCGTTTACTAGAACAGTCAATAGATGCCTCTGGCGGTCATATGTGTGTTTATAGCCATGAGCACTTTTCATTTATAAAACCAATCTAACCCCATATTTGAAAACAAGATAATTGTTCAATTCATATAAAAGTATTTGTATAATATTGTAGATCCAATTAAAAATCTCTCATGACCCTAAAATGGGACGCAAAGATAAACAAACAAACGCATAGAAAGTGGATGATTTGTTTAAAAACACAGATGTGAGTGCTGCTTTGTTATAATGGGGTTTTTTATAAGTAGTAAAGTTAACCGTGAGTCAATACCACGATTGGTTGTAATTGAAATAAAAAAAATAACCTAGGAAATCCTTTACATTGGTATTATATCTTGTTATATTAATTGCGACTGTGATTGTGACATGTTGATTGAATAGGATTAGTTGAATCGAGGAGAAACAAACAAACAGACTATTCAGATCTATAGTTATAACATTTGTAGTTTATAAGTATGCCAGTAGTATTATTACAGCGTTATCCAGTACCGTCCTTAGAGGAGGGGGAGAGCTGGTTGGGCGTTCAAGATCCAAAGTCTAAGTTGCATAGAGCCCCAGCCAGTGATGCTGATATCGAAGAGCTGCCAAAAACTAGCCCAAAGGCACTAGGTAGGCTAAGACCGACCTTGGCGTTATTTACCCTACTGCTTGGTTTTTTAGGACCCAACTAATAGACCCAATATAAACTCTAAATAAGTAAAAGAGGCATAAAGACACCTCTCTCTGGTAGATTTAGCACATTCGTAGGTGTAGTTAACACATTAAGGTAATATGACTGCCAGAGCAGAGTAAACGTAATTATGAAAGCAATTACTATTTTTTGAAAGCAATAACGATTTTATATTTTTATTATTTTCCATTAAAGGATGGAAAGTATGGGACAGAAAACCATAGGAATCACAGTGCTTAACAGAGTGACTGAAGCCAATGCATCATTGTTTCTGGGATTTTATTTGAGGTAATCACCATAAACATGAGGTGTTATAGACATTATGTCAATTTTGGAAATATTTACAACGCAATATCTGTTTACATATGCAATTACATGCATAATAAATGAAAAGGTTATCAATAATGCATTTTATAGTATTTCAGTACGTACTATTCATAATGTAGATAATTAATATGCAATAAAATTTAGGTAATGATACTATAATGAAAGTCTAGATGGAATATTAGGAAGGAAATAACTTCCAAATTAGCTTCTCAACTCAAGCCGATCAATTATGAATTTATAAAATTATATAAATCCGACTCAATGCGAGCAGATTGCCGCGAAATTATTCACAAAGCACCCCCGGCGTGGACTTGATGATATTGTATTAGGCGATCACACACGAATGCGATTTTAATGGATACTCAGATCCGACCCTCATAAAATATATCGTAGCCTTATGTCATACGTAATAAGAGACACAATTGTTATCTTCGCACCGTCGTTTATGTCCTTTGACTTCCCAAGCAGTTGGACCCCAATCTAAATTAAAATCTAAAACCTTGTAAACAAGGCAAGTGCTCACTTTTTCGGGGATTTTAACCCTCGGAATTAACGAGAGTTATAAAAGGGGGTCGTTACTGCGATGCAGTGGTTTTGTCTTCGGATGTGTGTAATGTGTAGGAATATATCTACTATACTGAATATTTCTTTTGACGACTTACGATGTTTTGTTTTAATAAGTTGATTTTTTATGTAAACACATAGGTTCACTAAGATAGTGGCCATAGATAGAATAAAAGCTTAGGTAGGAAATAGAATACAACGTAATTATTCTATTTTTATTAACCATTCTTAACGTATAAGTATAATAAGCATGTAGGACGTATACTCAAATATGTATGATGTATTCTCAAATACCAAAATCTGCTTTTAAGTAAGTTATAAATTTAGGAAATATTAGTAAGTAATTATTTAATTTTCTATTAGACATCTAATCTTAGACAACACTTGCTTAAGTACTATAATGACAATTTCAGGTAGAATCAAAATAGGATCTCAACTGTATTTAGTTAATATCATTTGTTTCATATAAATTAGATAAATTAAAATTGTAGAAAGTAAACAAAAAAAAAGAAGTGAATGAAAATACAATATAATAGTAAATATAATATAAAAAAAATATACAAAACAATGTATACTTTAAGATTTGATTACTATTTGAAAAAAAAGCCAGAACATAACAACAAGCAGAATAAAGTTCAAAGTTTTAATGCGGGGCATTATGTGGAAGTATGGCATCTGCTGAGTCAGTTGGTGATGTCTTAATGACCAAAGAGTCGACTGGTGTCGCCCTCGGCAACTGTGGCTCTTTACGATGTCGCACTGATATAAGCGAATGTTGACATTGAGGTTTTTCAGTTATTCTGTGCTCTATGATTCGACCACGTTGTAGTTCAGCTAAATTACTCGCCAACTCTGCCGCCGCTTCTCCATACAGCCTCTGGCCTCTGCGAACCTATATATTTACAGATAACAGTAATCATTGTCGCAAATAATTGTCATATTATAATGTAAGAAATAAATTACTTTTTCTACGATCTCTTTAGTTCCTCAGATAGATTTTTTTGAAGATTTTTGTGGAAAATAACTTTCGCTGTAAAGTGAAAAGATCTAAACGATATTAATTTCATTCCTAATGAGATCGAATGTTTGTACCTATATCTAGATCAAAAAATAAGGATTAACTTTTTAGATTTTTAGTATAATAAAATTTCTATATGCGACAAATATAGTTATAATATTGGCGTCTTTTAATAATTTAAACTTGTTGAAATCACCTCGTCTCGGAGTTCCGCACGCCGCCTTGAAACCCATTCAATCTGCTCCTGCAGTTTCTTGCATTCTTTCTCGTTACTCATCAAGTCTTTCCGGAGAGATTCCATGATCTCCCGGTACTTGAGTCTTACGTCGTGATCTATTGCATGTAGGTTGTCGATCTCGTGCTGGGTCTCTCGTATTTTGGACTTGGAAATTCGGAGGCGACCCTCCTTTAGTGATGAATTGAATTTAGCAAAATAATTATTTTATGAACAAAACTACTGTCTATTTATAAACTACTATGTTTGTATGTTTTATTTTGTTCTACTTTCCTCTCATCCGATGTAGATGTAGATATATATGCTGTTTCAGGAGACTTTTGATTTCTAGATATCAGTGTAGTTCTCCTTTGGAAGACATTTGCCTTTTCCACTATCGCATTATATTTATTCTAATGAAATGATTATCCGACTTTCTTTCAAGCTAGTTCGCTCTCACTATTTTCCGAAAGTAGTCTGGTAAACTCACTACATCGTACATTTTTCTGAATGCTCTCATTCGATCGTGTTTAATCTACTCTCATTCACTTTCTTACATAACCAATTATAGCTTCCATACAACAGCGTGAGGACACCTTACTTTTGTTAATATTTTAATACATTCACGACCACGAATGCTTAAAGGCTATAATAATGAATTTTAATGATCTGTTATATCTCTATTGGTATCTGTATGTGTTTGTGATACCTACATGTAGCGACCTCACTCTAGTCTTATTTAAGTACCCAAGTACTTTATAATTAGCAATAAATTAGGGTACATCTACCTAAATGCTACTACCTAAATTCTTTTTTATTAAAATTTTTAGTACCTTCTCTGCAAGTTTCCTGGTGAGCACATCGAGATGGTCGTCAAGGCTGTCTTTCTGTTCTACCTCGTAGCTCTGCACCACGTTATGATGTGGACAGAGTCGGTGCACCAGCTGCACGGGCATGCAAGATGGACACTCCTGCTCTGGCTGGGGAAAAGGACTTCGAGTATTTTTATAATTTGCAAATAAATTTAACATAGGTATTATGTTAGGCTAGTTGGTACTTTAAAAGAAAATTATTTACAATGCCAATACTTAGATACCTAGCAAGGAACTCACTGCGACGGCTTACAATGCCTATGTTTAAAATATAGGCAGGCAATTGTAATATTGTCTTTATAATATTGCAAGTTACATACAGGTACAATAAGTTGTTTTGAGTTTTTAATGCGTTTTTATCTTTTGGCAGTAGGTCGTCTATGTTAATTAAAATATGATTTTATTACGCAATTTACAAAAAGAAATTAACGATTAACCTGTTGGAAACCACTATAGAGACAAAAACAGCCTCACTGCTTCTCAGAATTAAATGTGACATTAATGGTACTTTTCCCTTCATCAGTATTATTATAATAAAGTTTTTTTAATATAATAAAGCTTTTCTGAAGACTAAACTATTGTGCATCAATATTTTACCATATCTCGCCCTTTAAATTGAAATACTGTTAGGTATGGGGAAGAGAATACGTGAGGTTGAATATTTGTAGACCTGTGTACCTTGTATGACCTCCATTTCCACCTAATAAGTAAGAGTAAGAGCACCAATATAACTCCGAGACTAGCGGCTGCGGCAGCATTCATGGTCACACCAAACAGCGTATACCATCATCAGGTGATACCTCAATACCTCGTGATTACAATCACAATTTTTGAAGGGGTGATGGAGGATATTTTAAAAAAAGTATTTAATAGTATTAAAAAAATTATTGTATGTGGAGATTTTAACGTATCACCATTTTGAGATTTTATATTCTTTGACAAAAATAAAACTAAAATATAGCAATAATGTGACAAACGTCAGATAATTGTATTCGAAAATTGGATGCGGTTGACATTTGTGTCTTTCATAGTTTTCTGTAGGTATGTTTACTTTTATAAGTTTTACTAACTTGTTTTAAATGTAGGCATTATAACACATTTCAATCTAACAACTGTGTGGCCGCGTGGTCTCGACATAGAATTGGTCACTCCTTCCTTTTCCATAGGTGTCGTAAGAGCCAACTAAAGGAGGGCGAGACATGAGCATTAGCGTTCCATTTAAAACATCTCTAACGCCCTGACTGCGGTTGCCAATCCGCCTGCTAAGCATGGCAGCTACTGACAAAACTCCCCAAGGGGGAGGCTTATGTTCAGCAGTGGACAGTGCTGATATGATGATGATGACGATAATGAACCTAATAACGCCGTATCGGCTCATTGCTAGTAATGAGCCGAAAGGATTTTCAGTACTCTTGCAGGTTTTTTTTCCATTGGTGTATTTGATTTTAACTCCAGTCTTCTCTTACACTATTAAGTGGAGGAAGAAGAATGGAGACGATATTAAAGAGATGCTATTAGATCTCCAATTAGTAAATATACTCAAATGTTAGACTAGGATCCTTATTACTTCCATATCTCTTAATTTTTTTCAAATATCATAACTGAAAAATAGGAGCAATATGCTGGCAGGTGTTATTAATTTGTTCTTTAATCAGTTTGGTCTATCAATATAATTATATTTTTAGCAGTTTCTAAATCTAAACATAAACTTACCTATCGGTTAAATACATATTTGGATACGTTCTACTTGGAGTCTCCAGAAAAGTTAATGTCCCCTTTATTAAAAACTCGAAACCAAAAATGTTCACCGAAACTAGACAGAAAATGTATTTCCTGAAAATGACTCATTTATGAGTCTGTTTTGGATTTTTCCCCATTTATTCAACCAAATACGTGCCCATTAATATAATTGACTATGTGCCTATTATTGAACGAATTTTGCTGAATTTAGCTGTATTCTGCGATTTTTCTCGCGCAAATTGGAATCAAAGTACTCTAGTATATACTAGTAGATATTATAATTTATATTATTATTTATATATTATATTAGTAATCTTATATGTTTTATCAGTGTATCAAACTTTATTTCTGGTCAACTGCATAACTGTAACGGACTTTATCAAAATTTTTTACATTTTTAGAGCTTTTCGCTTTTATAGAAAATTGGAGTTATTAGAATTTTGTATACGACATACATATATTATATTCAGATAATATAATATACATCTATATTCTTGTGACATTATTTTAGAACTTTTAAACGAGATAGACTAGTTAATTGTTGGAAACGACAAATATAGTAAGTTCATAAAATTACCTTTTTTATGAATTTACTATATTTTTTACCTTTTCCATTGGCTTCAGAAAAGAGGAAGAACTTAATTCGATAGTAGGTACGTTTCATTTTGTCTTATATATTATGCCGCGATATTCTAAACTAATTTTGATGAAATTTTTTATGTAATATAAGGCTATTTCTATGAAGAAAGGAAAGGATGAAAGTATTAACCCTTAAACCTTTTTTTTCTGTCTAATTTAATATTAATTTTTTTTTTTGTAGAACGAAATCTTAAATAGTCAATTAGCAATTTAACTTTATACCAACCAACACGAGATTATTTTGCAATTTAAAAATAGGTACCTATTTACATAAAGCATTCTATATGTATACTATAATTAATTAGGGGTAGGTAGCCCTTGCTCGAATAGCTACCGGGGCGCGGGTTCGTGTCCGGTGACAATGGTCCAGCCATCCATCACCCGCTGTCAACGGCTCAGGTGTCGAGATCTGATGGCTCGCAATACATGTTTTGATAGAGATTGTGCATAGAGTTTCCATATGCTATTCCTATTTATTTATAGTTTGTAATAAAAATTGGATATTCCAAATCTTATAATAACATGAGATAATAGCTGAACGGATTTTAAAGTAATTTTGTAAACGGGTATCTAGATAGATAGATGGCCTAATTTGAAAAATCATCTGTATATTTTATCAGAATAAATTTGACACGATGTTGCATTGAACATATTTATAGTAAACAATAACATAATTTTGGTAAATACGCTGAATATCTAATGTAGTAATAAGCCTATAGCGAAGCAAAATTGTTTATCTAATGTTTTTGGGACAGAATGTAATATAGAGCCAGCTTGTTCAGTGTTCATTTTAAAAATTCTTTTTTTTTATCTGAAAGGATATGCTTACATATTGAACTCATAGAAATTTTATCGAAATAGTTTAGTAGTTTAGTTTTTAAATCAGAATAATTGGTTTTATCAAATTTAAAGTCGGTTTTTTGTGTGACACAATCTTTGATTATATATCTTACTGTTATTAGATACTTGAGCCACAAAATTAAAAAAATATATTACTAAATAAATGCCTTATTATATATTTTTTTTAATGGATGATAATGGAATAGTAACCCCACCCGCGCTATCGGTATACACCGGCGGGGCACCAGTGAAGAATGATAGGTGAGGATGAAGTAGGTCAGTTAGCCCATCGTGACGAATTCAACAAGAATTGTTCACTATGGTTTCCAGGGGGAACCACGTGGAGGTCGACCTAATAAGGTATATTGCTAGCAATGGGGCTGTCAAACTCAATTGTTAACAATCCTTTTCCCCCCAAAGAGCCTTATTATATTAGTTATATACAATATTACATACTCGCCACGCCGATCAGTCACGTAATTCGAGCCCACCCCGCCCTAGCGGGGTGGAGCGGGTAAGGCAATTACGTTCAGATACGGCGAATAATTGAAAGGGGATCGGTTTCTAATTGATTGTTTCTGGACGACTGATTGATATGATAGAACGATTACCAACCGGCGCGGCGGTGTGGCCGATACGTAATTAGTACTATTCTATTTATTCACATATAGATAGGTTATGTAATATGTAAATATAAGTTGTTTGTTATTTTTATACATACATTAATAGATTTAATAATATGATCATATAAGGTCAGTATACAGAACACAAAAAATGAACACAGCACGTTGGTATACTGTACATCTACAGCTTAGTATATATATATGTACTTATAGGGTATATCCATTTGAATATGAGTGAATTATAGTTGATTGCTTTTCATCCTTTACAAGGGAAAAATGTTCAATGATTTAGTTGATTGCTTGTTTCATCCTTTACAAATAAAATTAAGAATCTATATCATTGCCTGTAAATAAAATTAAGAATCTACCCACGAAAACTATACGGAGCAAAATTATCAGGCTCAAAACTTATTTTGCATTTAGATCCGTTTCTGTAAAGTTACATTGATAGAACACTTCCTGAAAATTATGTTAACATATTCGGTTTTATCCTGTATATAGCGAGAAAATAATACACATACTATGAAATAGATCTTAGAAAAATTCAATCACAAATTTTTGGAATTAGGATCTGACAACAAGTAGGCACAATGTAAACTGTAAATAATGTTCCACTTCTATTTAATGACTAAGTTCTACTAACATATTCATTACTGGACTATATTTAGTCCATTATGTAAATAGAGTTAATTGTTAAAGAGTAAAGTGGTATTCTAATAAAAAATACTAGTGGTGTATTATTATCATCATCATATCAGCCATTATTATCCGTCCACTGCTGAACATAGACCTCCCCCATAGACTGTCATAAGGAACTGTCCTGATCCACCTGCATCCGGTGTATATAGCATCATGAAATAACAACTTTAAAAATTACTATTTCAGTGGATATAAGAATGAAAAATAAACAGTGCAGCCAATTTGATAGTAGCTCTTGGGTTGAAGAAGAGAGCGTCTCACAAAACATATGTTTATATACTTCCTATATTTATATAAATAACTTTTGAAACAAAGCTACTCTGAAAATGTGTGTACCAAAAGTTTATATTTTTTATCATGTCCATAATACTAACCTCACTTGTGCTGGTTTATGCTGGCGAAGTCGATATTAGTGTGAGATCATAGTTGCAACTGAAGCCATGTCAGTACCAAGAATTAATCACGATACTTTCTCAGAGCAACTTGACAGGGCTACCTGAATAAAACTACTAATAGGTACTAACAATCCTTTCTACCACTTTATAATTTGGGTAAAGTATGTTGGTGCAATTTTTCTGAAGCATAGAATCAAAAGGAACCTTAAAACTCATTGCTGTCATAGGGACGAAATTGCCGCCACATTTGACGTTATACACCGCGTCCAACTCATTCATTCTCTCACATGTTCGTTCCGTTTCACTTACTGCGTGATCAAAGCCCTGCGTCGACGTCGGTATAGTTTAGTTTAGATTTACAGCTTACGGAAGCTAATTAGAAAAGATCGGTGTGGAAGTGAATGCTCGCAAGGCCCACTAGTCGTCACGAACCGTGCGTGCAATGGAACGTAACGGTTCGGAATGGTTATGTGATAAATCTTTTTAATATAAGGTCTTAAAATGGTTAACTTGATTAGGAGTATCGTTTTTTTAATAGAATTTTGAAATAACAGTTGTGCATAAATGTATTGCTGTCACATTGTTGGAAAGCGTAGTTAATCTTTATAGAAAATAGTATAATCATAGATAATTCTAATCATAGATTTGACATTCATTCATTCATGACCAGAGGGAGACTTTGTACAAAAGTCGATTGCTTGGGTACCTCTGTCCCATTCGTGTTTCAACCGTGAAGCAGTTGTGTTTGCATGGCTGTGTTTCGCTTTGAAGGGTGGGATATGGCAGTAAATTTACAGGGTACAGAGGAATAACACCTGAGTCCTCAGGAATGGCAACTCATGGGGAGTATCATGGGCGAAACAGTATATTCTGTTATGTCCATGGTACTTCTCATGTCTATAGGCCATGGTTACCACTTTACATCAGGTGGGCCGTCAGCTTGTTTGCCATTCTAAGTTGTATAAAAAAAAAATTATTTTTCTACGATACTAGTCTTTACCAAATGCGTATTTCATATTCAGAAACACGAGCCATATTCGACAGATTGATCTCTCGTATCCAGTGATT